CTTGTACAGAGTTAGGCTTTCGCATTTAATTCGAGAATTGGCCGGCCTTCCCTGCCTTTTCTGTTTATAAGGATATAGTGGTGACTACCATCGCAATGAGGCGTAGAGGTGGAGACATGGAGTCTCCAGTCAGCACGGAAATATTTACATTTCTTATTTATCAGATGCTATTATCCAAAGAGACGTACATTTTTTTGGAGGAAGCAGGGTTAGGCAGAGTCCCTGGAGCAATTCGAGATTGAGGGGTGTGCTGGTAGACCTGATGATGAAGTCACTCTGGCAAGACTGGCATTTGAACCGGTGACCTTGTACCAGAGACACGGCATCCTAAGCGGCTCAGTCACACACGGATGGAATCTGAAGGCAAGCTTCACTTTCTGTGGCCTCTCTGAGCTCCCAGCCTCTCACGCTCAGGTTGCCTGGCCCAGGGTGACTTCTGACCCCCATGTGACCCAGCCAGGGTGTCCCCCCCCCAACACGCCGGTGCAGTTCCTGACTCCCCTCTTCTCGGCAAGTTGGGGCCCAGGGCACCAATCCAGTCGCTTGGCTGGATTGCAGAAAAAATGAGCCAATGTGTCAGACGACTGAACTCTGCAGTTTCTGAGTGCCCATGATCTGCATTAGATCCCTTTGAAATGTTAAACACAAATGGAACGATTCAAAAAGTGAACATTCGTCAGGCCCCATAATGCTGGAAGACATAAACAGGCCTCTGATGATGTCATTTCTTAGCTCCCTACGGCAAGAGGTGTGAGTGTTGCCACTGACAGATAAAAGACGACGACGTCATGCTTACCTACGCGGCGCCACCGTTAACAGGGCGTTACGCCCTTGGGCTGTTTCCCACATGCCAGACTGTGTTACTCTGCTGGTTCTTGACCATTTAGCATATGAATTAGAAATGCAGTCCATTTACCAATGGCACCAGGAAGAGACCATGGAAAAATCAGAAATATTCTTTTTAATTCCAACAAACACACACACAGATCATAAACGGTCATGAATGCTGTAGGTCACCTGGGTTCGCTCCTCAGTTGTTCAATCACTCTTGGTCGACCGTAGAAAGAAGCCCTACCCTCAGTCGTTCTTGGACGACCGTGGAGAGAAGCCCTACCCTCAGTCGTTCTTGGTCGACCGTGGAGAGAAGCCCTACCCTCAGTCGTTCTTGGTCGACCGTGGAGAGAAGCCCTACCCCCAGCTTTTTCTCCTAGTTTGCTTTGGAAAAAGGAAGTGGCCGTGTTCCTGTTCACCACTCGCAGGCAAATCCTGAGGTCCAAAGCACTGCTCCTTTGCATGTGAACCCGAGCCATCTGGCTAACTGGAACTGGGGGGGAGGGGGGGGGGTCCCATAAAGTAAACAACCCTTTAAGTGCTTCAAAACATGTAAGCCCCTAAACGTACAGTTCTCCAAATCACGTGTGGCTCTTTCTTAAATGCTGACACGCTGGTGTATGCGTGTGTCTTACTGCACAGATCCAAGGACAGAGAGCTTGACTTGTATGAGTAACTTATTAGAACATGCATCGGCCGGCCAGCGGGTTAACGCGGTATATAAGGGTAGGGGTGTGAAATTTAGGGCTGCTGGTTCAAGTCCCAGAAGAAATTCCTGCTTTTAGCATGGAGTCCAGCAAGCTTCCTGCAGTAAAAATTATCCAGCTGTAAGTATGGCAGCTTTCACAGACTGAACTTGACTGAAAATCTCACCAAAATGTATTTTAAATTCACTCTGATGTCCTGAAAAGCAAAACAGCATGGACAGGGTAAACGGAAGCCCATGGGCTTGAGTGTGTAACTGCGGCTGGACCCCGTGTGGGTGGCACAGAGCGCTGCTACTGTGTGGGTGGCACAGGGAAGCTTGACGATACGCTTGTGCTTCTGGGCCTGAAAAGCTGCCGCCCGCCGCAGAACCTGGCAGCCACGTTTTCTTACGGCCTGATTGGTCCGCTTTGGACTGCAGTGCCCAGTGGCTGATAAGAAGGACACAAAAGTGCATCCCAGAAATGTTCACAGAGGGTCATGTTCTGCACTAGACACCAACAGCAACTCCTCTTGGGATTTAAAAAAAAAAAAAAAACCTCTGGGTCATAATTTTGGTTCAGTGACAAACACGTCACCTCCATCTTATTTAATTTTGTTTCATTTGTGATCCTGTGGGTTTCTAAATGCCCTCAAACCAAGAACAACTAGGTCATCCTCTAGTGCATCTTCTCCTTGTGTTTTAAGTGGGTTTCCTGTGGATAATCCAGTTTTCTCCCACAGATATGCAGTTAGGTGAAATGGATGCCTGTTCGATTGTGTGCTTGCCCTGTAATGGACTGTCCCTCTGTGTTGTGGCCTGTGTTCCCAGGGACACAGGCTTACTGTGTCTTTGTACTGGATGAGCGGTTGCATAAGATGAATGGATATTTCATGAGGAGATTGTTTGTCTTATAAGGAGCAGCCACAAAGTAATTTATCATGAGCTTTTATGAAATTAAAATGCTTTTTGCGGCTCAACAAAACGTCACAAAACAGGCTGAGGCAGAACAGCAGGACCTCACCATGGACACCATGTTGTCGGGTGCCATAACGCAGAAGAAGCTAGAGTATCTCACGGAGCTACGCAGCAAGAGCGCCATTAAAAACAAACATCAGCACGATCCAGCCACAGGGTTTTTTACTGGATGTTTCCAGATTCTCTCTGCACCTGGGGGGGGGGAGCAGTGTTGGATGTGAAACGGTGTCGAGCCAAATCGAAACTGTCCGTGTCTCTGAAGCGGGGAGCGGACAGTATAAGGTTAATGTGGTGCGGATTGGTGACGCCGTTTCCTGCCTCTCAGTGGCACTGGAAGAAAGAAAAGATCAGGAGAGATGTGAGGCGTGAGGCCTCTTCTCAGGAAAGGCGGCGGGGTGGGCGGTGGGGGGGTTATTGCTTGTCACATCCCTTTCCTCACCAGACGACCACACCGGACCCACCAAGTCTGCCATGTCGGTTCACACACAGTGTGTGTGTGTGTGTGTGTGTGGGGGGGGGGGGTGGGCAGGACCACCACACCCCTGCTCTCAAAGCAAGAGGAAATCGACCCAGAGACACTTGCTGCTTGTGTGGGGAGGGGGGGTTGCTCTGTAATGAGGGTGAGCTAGAGGACGTCAAATGTCAAATGCAGTCGGCCTGAGCAATATCACCTTGACAACAGGTATTATGGTAAAGCTGACCCTCCCTAAGTAGGGGGTGCCATGTGGGGGGGCTTCATACACTCTATTTTTTTGTCTCAGCCACCTTGAAAAATTATTTTTCTAGATCCATTTAGCGATTTGACCTGTATTGTTCACCTGTATTGTTCACATTTTGTACATTTTTGTTTTATAGTTGCTCCCACCCAGCTCATTTAATCAGGGGGTCCTGAAATTGGCAGTCCTGCTCTGGGCTCTATGGGTCAGATCCCAGACCCCTCCCCGGGCCTTACAGCCTGGCCCGGGCCACACTCTCAGAGAGGGGGGTCGGGGGTCAGGGTCACCAACAGGCTGGATGGGGAAGTTTCCAGTAAAACGGCGACACTCCAGATTCAGGGCATTTGCACAGAATTGTTTTTATGGCCAGGGTGTGATGAGCTCCATGTCCGTGAGGCCGGGCGGACAGACGAGGAGGAGAGGGAGGTGTGGCCCATGCGATTCCGATTCTGACTCAGCAGCTGTGGGGCACTCGCAAATCCCGGGTCTCCGTGCCAGACTAATCCCCAGATAATTACCTCGCTGGATCAAAGCGACGACAGAGACTGCAGAGACTATGGCTGTGAGCTAAGCCCCCGGAAAAGGCCCGGAAACAGCCATTTATTTATTTATTTAGTGATTTGGCAGATCGTGATATATGGCCGAGTCGGGCCAAACCACTCCCTTCGCCGCTTGGGTCTCCAGTTACCACGGGAGTAACTGTGAGCTGCGCCCGTCCTCCATCAGGATCTGTCTGCACGGTCTAGATTAGCTCCGGATCGCAAACCATCCACTAATACCAAGACTCAGCTCACAGATCATAATTTCTAGGTTTTCTACACTTAAGGTGTGACCTCTATTGAGTTAACTTTTTATCTCCCATGTTAGCAATCTACAAAGTCTGCTTTATCATTATTAAGTAGCTGTTTATAGAAGACGCCTTCCTGCTTTTTGTAGAGGTCCACTACATTATTGACAGGTTCCAGAAGTGCTTTTCTATGAATTTAACATCCAGTTTCTTTCCTAAATGGTCACTTGCACAAACGCTAAGCTACCCGCTGCTCTGTCCATCTCTGAGTGTATTTTTTATGGCACTTTTAATATTGTTGCAGTCAGAGTTTAGAAAGCAAGGACCTGACTGTGCGCATTCAAATTCAAATTACTATTTGTCCCCGAGGGGCAATTAGGGCAGTTAAAGAAGGACAGGACATACTCACAAAGTGCAACAGTGTTTGAAGCATCACACATAAGCCAGTGGAAGCAGGAAGGCGGCCAGAGGAAAGGCGTGTCACCTGATATGAGGAGGGCTGGGTATCATTCAGAGGAAAGAATGGTAGGAAACACTTCAAAGGAGAATTTAGCAGCATAATGTATATGGCATACCTCCTGGCCTGTTAGACATGTAAAAAAGGTTCTAACGTGCACTGTGAACCAGAATGTACAGGATGTAACGTTTTTATTTCTTTGTTCCCTACCCGAGCCACAACCTGTGGCTTTAAAAATACATAACAGCTAAAAACCATTTTAAAAACTTAAAATCAGTTAACGCAAAGCGCCAAAAGCCATTTAGCACAACAGCTTAAAAAAAGGCAGCTTTAGCAAACATGACTCACGAAGACAGACATATCACACTGAGAAACATGAGAGAAAAAGTGAGCACTGCTTCATTCTACCTGGAAATGTCTATAGGACTGAAACCTCGCCTGGAAAACACTGGGGAGGGTAATGGATTTGGGACACGAGTAATAATGGAGCGAATACAACGACGTTAAAATCAAACATACCACGTGAATAGAAAATGAAAACAAGGCTTTCAGGTTGGTGTATACAGCGGTGACTTTATTCAAGATGAACAAACTGAACTCACGTAAACCACCTGACACTCAGTGACTGTTTGCCAACGGCATACCGCATGATTAAAAACCTTTCCTTTTACACTTTCCTTGAAATCTCATAGAAAAATCCCATATGGTGTAGAAGTGACACACAGAGATCAGTAAGGGGTCATTTAAAGTGCGCACAGGTGCCAACGCCAAAACACCTTAAGTGGACAAATCAGCAGGTCATACCAATCTGATCCTCCCTTAGTGGGGGGGGGGGGCCCTAAGTGGACTGCCCAATCCAGCGGATCCAATGGCACTTGTCTATCAACAATACTGTACTCCACACATATGCTGGCTTACCCCCTATATTTGGTTGAGGTTCTGTAAAATGCCCTAAAGCCCCATACACTAGCTTATTGCAGCCCTTAATGCATTTTCCCACCCTACCCCCAACCCCCCTGTGCAACAAAACTAAGGAAGACTTGCTTCATTCAACAGGTGTGTGGAAACTCTTCAATAATCCAATGAAACGTTCGTTAAACTAATTCCTAAAGGACATTCTGGGACTTTTTTAAAATACATGACCACGTATCCTGCAGAACTCCACGCTGTCAGTTATACATCATCATCTTCGGTAGAATACTGCTTTAATACTTTATGGTTTCTTTTCTTTTTAAATAAAAAACAGAACAATGAATTTGTATTCATGCGCCTCTTACATCATGTAACACCTCAAGTACAGTGTTTGTTGGAGAAACGTGTAAACACTACTCGCCACGTTCACCATAAGGCAGAACCCCATCCTCCTTTCATAACGTGAGCCGTGTCACTGATCCGACGTCAGCGTGGCACCATACAGTCCGAATGGCACCGTCTCGAGTTCATCTAGGCCTGTGGGTTTGCCTGGACAAGGACTCAAGTTTAACTTGGACTGATAAAACTCAGCCATAACCAGAACGCCACTGCCCAGCGCCGGAGAATGAGACTCAGATCCAGAAAGGAGCGGGAGGGGTTGGCGCCGCCCCCAGCACACGGTCCCGGAGATGCGCTCATCTCTTCCTCTTCTGCAGCCGCAGTGACTTTCTGCGCTTGACTATCATGTCGTGGAGCCTCTCTAGGCCTTCACCGAGGCCGTCGCCGATGATGGCGCACGCAGGCTGCAGGTGCCAAGGTGTGGCAGCACCCAGCTCGCTCAGCGCTAGCAGCTTTGCCACCTCGGAGAGCGGTAGTGCGCTGCGTAGGTCCTGCTTGTTGGCCACCACCAGCACGGGGACGCCCTGGTTCTCCACCGCCCGCGTGATCTTGTGCAGCTCCGTCTTGGCCTCCTCCATACGCTCCACATCCACCGAGTCCACCACGAAGACGATGCCGTCCGCACAGCGCGTGTAGGACCGCCACAGCGGCCGCAGTTTCTCCTGCCCGCCTACATCCCAGAAGTGGAACGCCACGGCCCGGGACCCGCCCACTGACACCTTGATCTTTTCCGTGTTAAATCCTTTGGTGGGCACCGTGTTCACAAACTCGTTGAAGCGCAGCCTGTACAGGACCGTTGTCTTTCCAGCGCAGTCCAGCCCAAGGATCACAATGTGAAGTGCCTGGAAAGTCGGCAGCTTCGGGAAAATAGCGGGCCGGTCGGAAAATCCATTCCCCATTGTGAAAAGAATGAGGAGATAAGTACTGTTTCGCCAGGTGTTCACAGCGCCTTTCACCTAACAACAGATAAAAGACACATTTATTGAAGGAAAGACAAAAGCAAAAAACCAATAAACAGAGTCCACGTTGCTTTACAATTTAAAGGACGCATTTCCCTTTCGTTATCATACTAATGCATTAAATCTTTTGACTAATTGGACCCATCAGGATGAATGACAAATAAAACGGTGGGGTGCCGACGGGTCTATTTTCAGTTAGCAAAGGCACAGACCCACCGGCCTTTGATATGCTAATTCAAACGTAGCAGAGTGTCTATATTCAAAGGCTAATGCATATTTCACCCCCTTCATCCCAAGTCAGCATCAGCTGTAATGCACATACCACCGCGACGAGCATGACCGCAGCCATTGGCCGCGCCGCAAGGGCACTGGGCGTTTAATGGGAGTTTGCACTGCCTCATAAAGCCGTCACATGAACCGATCGAAGGAGAAAACCCTATGCCGTCCATAAAAGTACCATTCATCAGCCATACACAGAAAAACGCAAAATAACTAGCGCAAAAAATAAAACAGTTACGCATCACCGCACGACGTGGGCGCAACTTAAAAACGCCCATAAATGCGGCCACGTTGGCTGTCCTTGCGTCCTACACCTGGACGTGCCATGAACGATTAACCATCTAGGTCGAAAATCGGTGCCGACACTGGGACGTCCTCGGAAAAAAAAACACTGCAGTCAACGCGGTTTCAGAGCCGGGTAACTACAGCCGAATAATTGCAGATTCGCAGCAGGTTATTATCAATTTAAAAAAAAAAAAAAAAAAAAAACCGGATCGCCGCTGCGTCGGAAGCTTACCTATGCGTTGTACAACATCCGCTTGTCAAAAGCAAATCGGCTGAAACAAGGCGCACCTTTCCCCTTTTCCCCATGTGAAGCCAGTACGCCTTATTTACTACTCCATTCCGTGTCCGCAGTCGCACTGATTAAACAGCCTGTCCCACTCCCTCGGTTATTCCCGCACTACAGGTTCAACCCAAAAATAACAGCGACCGGCGATTGGCTGCGCTCTCATCCCGCCCTCGTCCTTCCTCGGATGCGATTGGCTTACCGCTACGCTCGTCACCCCGCCGTTTCCCCGGGACACGCCGCCGCCACCTGCTCCTGTCATATAGCTTTCTGGGCCACCGAGGCGAGTTTGCTGTGTCGGCGAGCAAGTGAAAGTAAATTTAAACATTAATGCAGTCGAACGCATTCTTTTAGGATGTTCTATATTTGGCACGCTTATTATAAACTGTACATTAAAATGGCAGGTCATCCAAAGGTTCATCTCGGCTACGGCAGCCTGTATGAACCCGTTGTTTTGATTACAATGAGCTTCCTGTGCAACAAAACACAAACACGCTTAGTTTATAGTGCGTAAACTTTGTTTATGAAGGGGCATAGCATTATGCTATTAGTTACGTATCAGTTGACCACAAACTAAGTCTTAGTTACATACTGATGCCATGTTAATTCATCATTATTTAATCGTGTCGCATGTTTTATCTTAAGCAGTTACTATATTTACTACTATATCTGTTAATTCTGTAAATCTTCGTGAACTAACGAAGGAACTCCTATGTGGTACCACAGTTTAAATGGACTTCATATTCGTTCACTTACATTTTGCCCAGACTACCTTAAATCCGACAAGTTACCCCGATAACCCCGCTTCATAGTACAGGCCCCTGAAGGATCAATTAAGTAATGAATAACACGTGAAATACTGATCTTATGTTTGTTCATTAATGAATCGTAACAAATATTTAATCTGAAGTAGCAACTAGGCTATATTTGTTCGTGATTTCTACTTCAGTGTTGAGTTATTACCAAGTAGGGCCTATTTGTGCCCCATCTAGTAAAATATTACCAAAACATGGAATAACTAGCTGCCTTTCTACAATATCAAACAGATGCGAAAAATAATTGTGCAAGATCGAAAACCGTGATTAATAGCATTTTGACCTGGTCTGAAACCATTACTAGCTTTTTCGACGTGACGCTTCCTGGCAGTATAGGCCTACACATTCAGAGGGCAGTTAATAAAGTACACTTACTTGTCAAACCAAACAGCCTGCTCCTCCACCTGAGGTATTACATGCACACAGACAAGGTGCTTGGCTCCGCATTACAATGGCCAAGATGTTTGATCCAAGCAATTTGAATGCGTGTGATTGTCGGTGCCAGACGTGGTGGTTCCAGTATCTCAGAAACAGCCGCCTTCCTTGGGATTTTCACATACTTTAGTGTCTAGAGTTGACAAAGAATGGCGCAATAAACAAATAAAAAATCCAGTTAATGGCAGGTATGTGGGCGAAAATACATTGTTAATGTAAACAGGAAGGCAAGAAATGCAAAAATAACAGTGTCACAATGGCTTATTTGAATGCACAGATCTTCTGCCCTTGAAGCGATGCAATGGGTGCCACCGGTGTAAATCCCACGCCTAAATGGAGGGCTTCTACGAAAGCCGCACTCGCCGATTTGCTAATTTAGTTTTAATGACTTCCAGAATTGCAGTTTGCTGGCAATTATTAAAAAGTAAAAACTTCTACCCCCATGAGATAAACGTTACGTCTCCGAGTACAGATAAAAAGAATCAAATATAACTGCATCAGTTACTGATAACACAAAGGTACTGGGGACGACAGGAGATAAGTTTACCAAACTGTCACGTCGCGAGGAAAAAAGGACTCGAGGGTAGGTTTCAGGAGAACAAAAAGGGGCTTTATTATACAAAACAGGACCGCGATGGGTCTAAATCTACTAGGATTAGGGAAGGACACAGGCAACAGAAGGATTGACATTAATGAACGGATTGGGGAACACACGACTAGGAAGCACGTATATGCGGGACTACCGAGGGACTCACACGATTTTGGTGTTGTTTACTACATATGGACCGGGGATTACGAACAAGACACTGCTGGGAAGAAACAGGATGATTCCTGAGGACCAGCAGTGACCCCTACTGGTCATACCGGGGGATGGACAGGACGGATGACACACTGCATTTTCAATGCGAAAGTGTAGACCAGAGGTCACTAACAGGCGGACTGCGGGCCGGGTCCAGACCAAGAAGCTGTCCTATACGGACCCGGACCGGCCAAAACATTAAGTTATTATAAAACCTGACGGGACGCTTCTATTTTAACCGTCGCAGCGTTTGTAGTCTTTTTAGTAGTGGTTTAGCAGTAGAACCGCTGTTTCCCACGCCAATGAACGTCAAACGCCTTTGACCGCCAAGCAATTCGGCGTATGCAGCCCTTTGCGCTAATGTGCCGTTAGTGTACGTTAGTAGCAGCATCGAAGCTAAAACCACATCCAAAAAGCCGTAATGTTCCTGACAGAGTGACTGGTCTGTCCTGAAATCGTAAAGCTGAACAGTTTTCAAATACAGTATGTATTATATAAGATATTGGATAAATAGACGTAGTTTATTGTTGATTTCATGTTCATTGAAGTTTCTGCTTTGTAACATATGTATAAAGTGATGTTATCTGTTATAAATAAACTCGGGTGAAACAAAAAATATACATTTTCATGGCTGCTAAATCTCAAGCATCTGGCAGGACACGCTTTCAGACTCACGCTGGAAATCTTACGGCAAATCTATATTATTTCATTATGAAACCTAAAATTAGCTATGTCAAAAGTGTATTTACACGGTTAAATACAAAAGCAGACTATTTACAAGGTAAGAACTGTTACATGTGTGTGCAGACATCTCGAATTGAAAATCTCACTCCAGCCAGCTGGCCGAAGTTCTTTGTCACGTGACAATAAATATTGTCAAAACGTTTTTGAATTGTACTGAATTAATTTGATTTGACAGTCAGGTACTGATTACATGCAATGTTGGTACAACTAATAGACTACTTAAATGTAGATCACACTAAATAGTTAGACAGTATGATCTTCTGGACCTTTGCTTCTAGAAGTTTTCTCTAACTGGACCTCTTTAAATTTTAGTTGAATACCCCTGGTATAGACGATACGTTTCACCGTCAGTTATATATTTTGTGAGCCAGCAGCAAATTTAAATACTGGTCTGAAATCTAACAGTGTGTGTAACTATGATGAATTCTAATATAACTTAAGCTTTGGATTTGTCATTTCATCTATATCCTCCTGAGACCCAAGGAAAAAAGTGTCCTTCAATTGTAGGTTATTTGTCTTTGGAGGAAATAAGACATCTTACAATTTAGATTTTTAAAAATGTATTCTTATTTTAATTTCACAGCATGTCCTCTTTAGTGCACAACAAGAATAAATACGTTTCCCAACATCAGTGAAAAAATAAATGCAAAAATACAATGTCCACTACAATGGACATAAATGAATAGGTCGGGTCTCAGGAGGATATTTGGGATATTCAAATCACGCTGCTAATGGTTCGAGCCCTGCTGATTATAAGTGTAATTAATTATTATACTTAATTTCCAGTCTTCCTTTACCCGTGAGCCAGGTGTGAAGCCTCTGACCAATCAGAATCAGTAATTATTAAACTAACTACCTGGGAGAACTGAAAACAAGGCCTGGATTTGGAATCGAGGTCCAAATTTGAAGATCCCTGGTCTATATGAAGAAATGGCGAATTCATGTGCACAATAAGCAAATTAGTGTTTTGTAATAAGATTTTATTTAATTTAGGATTAAAACTTATTGAGCATAACATGTCATTTAATGTGAAGACTAAATGCGATGCCACCAGAATATGAACATAATTGAAGAAATATGAAGATATAAATACATTCTGTCAACTTTTGGCATATGTAGGGTACCAAGGTGTTTACACGTGCAGGTTCAAGCAGTAGGTGTGCATACGATGACTAATGAAAAAAAAACGAGGGGGATGGAAGAGGCAATACCTGGACTTTAGAGTTATGTTTGCTACCTAGATGAAAACTCCAAAGAGAATAAAACATAGAAAAGGATTAAGGGCCTTATTTAAAGCTTAAGGCAAATTGATTAAATTTACTGAAATTATGCGGTTATAGCCTATAAATACTAATATGCACGTGTCCGTTGATTTTGTAAGAATTTAGGCAATGTGGTAAAATCACAGGTCTGAACTTTTAGACTTTATTGTTGCACCATCTAGTGGTGATGATGAGCAACAAGCATAGTGTTGCATTTTTTCGTTAGCTGGCTTCATTTCGTGCGTGATGAAAGCATCTCTCGTACATTTGTATTTAATTCCCAGTCATCCGAAAGTCACAGAAAAGACTTAAGTCATTTAATGCTGACTTATCAAGCAATGTTTATTACATGTAGTTTTTGAAGACAGTTTTTTTTGGAAAATTATATTTTAAGAGATTATTTTGAATGGAAAATACAAGCTGACCTGATATGTAGTTTGGGAGCAGTTTTACCAAACTGCTAAACATAAGCAATGCAGAATGTGATATAAAAAAGCCCATATATGCAGAGTAAAGCAAAGTAATATTAAAATGCTTAATTTAAAAGCTGTTAGAGAAATGTGAATGGATCAGGTTCTATCTAGAAAAAGAGCAGAATCAGAGGCTCCTATCCCGTGTCATTGGGATTTCAGGACCTCCCCCACCCCCCACCCCCTCCAAATCACCAAGGTATTAAAATTTCATCGTATAGTTTCTAGGCACTTTTCCTGTTATTTCAATGCTTCTGTCAAAACATGTAAAATGAGTATGAAAAGCTAAGCAGCCCCCCCTGTTTGTGGAGGTCTCACTCCACCCGCAAACGCGACATGGCCTGGCCCACGGCATCGCTGTTCCAGCGAGAGGCATCCCATCCTAGGAACCAGCCCGTGAACGTCGGGGGCTCATGCCCCTGCTTCACGATCACCACCGGGGTGTCCTGGTCTCGGCCCGCAGGGTCCGTCTCGATGTAAGCCTTAGCTAAGGTGGGAGAAAGGTACATCAGATGTACTGAGCCTGAGTCTCTAAAGCAAAATTATAACAAATTACCATATTTTTGGAGTGCTGGAGTTACTAAGGTACTTACTCCTGGTGAGATGAGGGGAATTTGCATGCAAATAATGACTTTTATTAACTAAGCAATAGAAATAACTAAATACACCACAAATATGACCTTTGACCCCAGGTATGCCAATGCGAAACGGATATTAATTTGGGCCAAATCCATCCTGACAGTATTAGTGATGCCATACCTGACTTCACCGACTCGGTCCTCTCCACCTCGTTGGCGTCCTTTCCGATCCAAATAAAAACCTGGAAAACATGGCGTCCACAATGTTCACTCCCCCCAACACAGAATGAAGCCTCTCAAGAAAAGCAGTAGAGCGCAGACCTGATCCCAGACGTCCAGCAGCATGACGTCGTCCTCGGCCAGGTCATCCTGGGTGAATTCTCCAGGCACCTCTTCGATCTGCAGAAAACCAATCGATACACCAAGGCCTCCCTCAGAAACTGGCTCTCTGTCCGGGTCCCAGTTTTAGCCACAGCCTTTATGTAGAGTGGATGAATGATGTGAACCTGGGAGCTTAATGTGCTCGATCGCTGATGTTTTTAGGAATAGCGATAATGGCCTCAAGCCCATTCAACACCATAATAAATGACCCCAATTTAACATTATAAATGTACATTCATCGATAGTGAAACAGGTCGCTGTCAACTTATGACTGCAATCGGTTCCAACTCACCGGTCATAAGTCGAGTTGGTTTTAAGTCAGCCCTATATGCACATGTATAGTATACTGTATAACAAAATGTAATATTTTGGCCAGATATCTCGGTCTGGGGACGGTCGTAAAGTTGATCATTTGTAAGTCGCACAGGTCCTAAGTTGATGACGTATATCTGACCTGTAATATCTGTATACCTGTTCCACTCACTAACGACCATACGCCTGTTTAACACAATAATGACTGTTCACCCATTTAACACAATAGTAACCATATACTGTACCCACCAATTAGTATTTAACCCATGTTGCAATTATTCAGGCACTAACTCTATACAACAGTGGAAGCTTAACTAGACAGACATATAAACAAAGGCTGAGTGAGATACTTACAATGAACCTGCCTGTTTTATTGGAGCAGGCAAACAGGCGCGGGGAGTGAATGACATCCTTGGACTCCAAGCCCACTGAAGTCTGATATGGCTTCTTACCCCCCAGCGCCGACCAGAAGGACTCTGCGGCAAGCAACAGTTATCAGCCCTCACTGGAGGGAGTCTCAGTGTGAGTATCAGTGTGTACTGATCAGAAGTGTTGGAATGTAGGAATATGAAAGTGGAGATCGGGTGCGTAGCAGTGCAAATACTTGCTAATCGGGTTTGTAAATGTGTAATCAGGGTTGCCAACTTTGATCAGCTGGCTCGTTGCACACGCGTTTTACACGTATGTATCACCTTCAGACGTGTCAGAGTTGGCAGCCCTGTGTAATAGCACATTCACCTGGTTCCTGCCCTTCTGTAATCCTCTGGCTTGTGCACTGCAGAACATGGCTGATGTATTGGGCACCACGCTCCTCCTCCTCACTGGCCCCCTTGCCTAGCCAGATGTACCCCTTCCCCTGGGGCGTCTTCAACAGGTAGGCATCGTTGGAGTTGAGGTTGGGGGCTTCAGCCTCCACCTGGCAGACGAGAGAAGCGCGTGCATGTGTGTGGTGTGCTTTACGCAGAATGTAACACATCTGCACGTCTAGCCAACCGTGCGGTACGCACCTCTGCAATCCGCGTGATGGTCGCCAAGTTTCGTCGCACTTGGAAGAGGCGGGTCGGGAGTACGGGCTCCTGCCCCCTAGCACGGGATGTCCCGTTCTTGTACACGATTAGGGGCTTGGCTTTGAACAGACTCAGCAAGTGCGCTGGCTCCTTACCCTGAGATACACGAACCTGGGGATGGAGTCGACAGGTGGATGCAGGTCCAGCTTGGCTCTGTTTGTCCCTCAGGGGCCACCATACCCTTAGCACATTCACACTTTAGCCGGCTAGTGGCCTTTAAACTGTCTGCCATGTTATTATTAGCGTGACAAACGCGCTCTTGGCTATCGACGGCCTCCAGGTGGCAGTATGCTACACTTAACACCGCATTTGCGATTCTAAAGACACGCTTGCATTATATTCTTATTTTATTAGTCGTCTCATTTATACAGGATGATAACGTAGATTATAGTGACACCCATTTTTTATCTGGATAGGTCATTATATTATGTTAAATCAGACTAAGAGTGTCTATAGATAATGCGGTTACTAATATCATCACTTTTTATTTTTGTCTTTGCTGTGCTTTATTTTTATTGTTACTTGTATTGCTGTTGTTGTATATTTTATTGATCTTTTGTATATTTTTTCCTTGTATTACATATTACAATCCTGGAAGCAGGTGGAAAAAGCATTTGACTCTACACCTGTACAGTGTATTTTTGTGTATTTTACAAATAAACCTTTAAATATTTTTCTTATGTGTACAACATAAATCTCTATTGCACTGTTCTATTTAAATTTGATTATTAATTTTTAAACTGTTTTTGATTGTATTTTTCTATGTTTTTAATATGTTTTTTGTCCAAGTAAATCGTGCTTAAAGTGTCAGATTGTCAGTGTTGAAATGTATTAATATATTTTTGGTTTATCACTGATGTCTTATACCTTCATCTCAGGCTATGACCCACAGCTCGCATAGCTGAAGCATAGCTGAAGATGACAATAGAGATCAAGGTGCAAACATGATTTTGGTCATAATATATGCCTGTTTTGGGAGGACCCTGTAGCCAAAAACTGAACGCAGGCCATGTGCTCTGGGTTCTTCTGATCTTGTGCTTCATGCGGCCTGATGCCTGACGTGTGAGCTGCTACAGATGTCTGCAGCTGAGGAACTCAGTGGTGCAGATGTGCACTTTAATGTTTCAATCACTCTTGAACAAAAAAAAACGGAAAGAGGAAACAGATTTACATGTGAAAATGAAGTGAAATAAGGAAGTAGCTGCATTTTATATGTCCCTCGTGATTTAATTATGGGTTATAAAGACTGTCATAATGTGGGATTCAATATAGAAACAGTAAAATGCAATGCTATCAATGGGGAAATGGTATTTGCTCACCTAAGGAGAAAAATATGACTTTAACTTCTGTGAAAAGGTGAAGTGAGGAAGTCAGCTTGGTTAGTGGAAATTTTAAGCCGATGCAGCAGAATCCCAGTACATTCAAAGCATGGGGCCCTCAAAGTGCTGGTTAACAGGTTTTGTTTGATGACAGAGAGGCTCAGAGTCAGACACACCTTAGGAGATTAGGATCAGTGCATGGGAGGGTAAGCATGTACTCTGGGGGATGTCTGTGTAATAGAGAGCCATGAGGTCGTTGCAAGTTCCTAGTTCATACTTATGTTATTTGTTTGGTTTGAGGCTTATTAATGAATCGAATGCTTATAGCTCTGAATGAGAATTCTCAGTGTTTGTTGCGCTGCCTCCATCAGAAACAGCTGGGAAGTGAACAGGATGTCCGGAGCCGTGTGTGAGAGTGTTTAACGTCTTCACCTGCACTGCGTTCCCCCCCAGGGAGCGGTCCAGCTGCACGGTGAGAAACGCCGAGGAGGTGAGCTCGTCCCGCGTGGCGCTGGAGCCCTGCCTGGACACGGGGGGGCAAATCAGTAATGACTCAGACTCGTTTCGACACCCCCCCCTCCCCCCAAGCAATTAAAACCACATACAGCAGATGTGTTACAAGCAAACTGCAAATGTCACACTTAGTTTCGCCGGTTTCGAACTGTCATGGTGAAATATGCTGCATGAGAAGTTTGCGAAGCTCAAAGACTGGTTTGTGTCAATATTTAAGTTTAACTGACTTTGAGGTGAAAGCAAACACTGCATGTTAAAAAATACCAAGAACACACAGATCGTACCAAGAACTCAATGCCAAGAACGCACAGATCGCATCAAGAACTCAATGTCAAGGACGCAAAGATTGCACCAAGAACTCAATACCAAGAATGCAAAGATCGCACCAAGAACTCAATGCCAAGGACGCAAAGATTGCACCAAGAACTCAATACCAAGGATGCAAAGATGTTCAAGATGATCAAAATTATGTGGACACCCTGATTAATTAGAGAAAATGGCTAATTAAACTACACTCAATGCTGGCATGGGTGCATAATTAAGCACGCAGACATGCCTTCTGCAGCAATAGCAGCAGCAGAATAGGTGGCTGTCCAGAAGAAGGGAGTGACTTTTGGACTGTGCATACTCCTTTTGTACTTTATGAACCTCACCGTTGTATGTAAAAGAAATTCTTGTGACCAATAAAGTATTATCTTATCTCTCTCAAAATGCCACTTTATTAACTTTTATTCACAGTGTATATCTCGGCTGTTGAAGCTTAAGTCATAGCGCCTAGCCATCGTACTATGTCACAGACGCTGCAAGATGCATTGGAGGTGCTAACAGCTAACTGGGGTGCCCCCCCCCCCGCACCAAGCTGGTGAGCTGGCTGGCGAGTCGTGGGAGAAACTCTGACAAGCACTCACCAGGTGTAGATGATGTGACCCTTGCCGTAGGTGTAGAGTATAATGTAACAGTCGCCTCCGTAGAACTGGCCGTATGTCTGTGGGTCAGTGGGGACTCTGCCACTACTCTCAACCCTCCAGATCTGCAGCACGTCAGACAGACAGACAGACAGACAGACAGACAGACAGACTTTATGAGTCCCTGAAGGAAAATTAAGGTTCAGTAATGCAGGACAATCGATGCAATTACCGGATGTAAAGCCAGCGATGGAGATCATGAGGGAAAAGCTCACAAACAGTGTTCATATGAGAATGCATTACCCAGTAATGATACAGAGTCTTACAAAGCACAAAATAAATCAGCCAAGATAAGACTCTTCTTCCGAGCCAGTTTCAGGTTTTACAGCTTGTTGTCATGGCAGCCCAAGCAGCACTCTGAGACTAATCACGTGCTATTCCATGCATTAACAATGCCTCTTTAACTGCTATTATGTTTCAGGATGGGGTTCTGAGAAAAAGGCCATTTTTACAGATTTGTACAGCCACAGCCCAGAAAAGTAAAATGATTTATCCTTGAAATAGTGATTTGAATGTTTTATTAAGTTGTAGCCCGGTTGCAACTTAATAAAGTGGCCATTTCTTCAAACTGTCTTCCATCACATCTCTCTTTCTAGAATATTCCAGAACTACTGACCAGAGCAAAATGGTGAATAATCGTAATGTGTTGGGTGGCAGCAGCCCCAAGCCTCCCACTTGCCCCCACATGGGTGTTTTACTGGGAAGAAGGTTCACCTCTGTTTCTCCAGTGCCGTCGTCCACCATGTTGTACTGGGCAGCCATGTGGTGAGACTCATGCAGCTTAGAGGCGTCGAACTTCTCCTGCGTGATTTTGGCGATTCTTTCCGTCACATAGACCTTCCCAAATCCCTCACTTTGGTCTTTGTCTTTCCAGCCCCTGAAGAACTGCTTGAAAATGGGAGTCTCACCTCCCTCAGGAAGTACTTGTATCTAGAGACAGATTATAAGAGACGTTTGCCAATTGATATATTCAGTGGTGTTTTTCTACTTCTAACAGACAAAAGTACAAGAAAAGGCTTGAAGAATAAAGTCCAAAGGACAAAGACAAATTCTTTATTAATGTGTCTTTAGAAACTTGATCTCCTGTTCATCCTACAATTGCTCTTGTGTTGGCAAATGCCAATAAGATGCACGATCACCTGTGTGTTTGGAGGGTAACCCATCTTCTTGATGAAACCCTCCGCCGTTTTCATCGCCTCCTTCCTTTCGCTGGGGTTGGCGTTTCGGCCTGATTGTCCCAGCAAGGGCCATGCAGGAAGGAAGTGACAAGACAGGACTTACTCCACATACTCACACGGACTCCAAACTCTTTAAAAATCCAGTGTGCAGGATGAACATAAAGGCACTTAAAAGATCTTTGTCGAGGCTGAAAAGACCAGGCAGAGTTTAGAAACTAGATTAGCATGACTGGGCAAGGGGATACAATGGGATATTAGGGAATTATACATTTATTTTATCTGGCACTAGTTAATTCTCTAGGTGCGGTTTTGGCAGTGGTATGGTTATTGTTACCATAAAATCTGAAATTCAACCCCAAGGCCCAGGCAAAACCTACTAAACTTTAAGGCAAACACTGTGAGCCAACTAGTTAATCTGAATCTGTGTAAAAAGTGTACATTTCCCATGTACACTAAAATGATCACTCTGGGCGATGACCTTAATTTGCTTAAATTCATGATATCAAACAGATCATTGGCCCCCACCTTTCCACACAAAAATCATCTTGTTTTTGCCGTGGTCCAGGATGAAGCACTCGTCTGTCAGGAGGATGTCCTGTGAGAACGGGTTCTCCTCAGCCACGACCGACACCTGCATGGTTCCGCTGGCGTCGGACACCTGCAGAACCCACACCAAGGCTCACTTCTAACTACACCCACGTTTAGGGTTACGTTTTATAACAATTCACGTTGTCGTTTTGGTTATTGGCAGCTGTTGGTACAGTATATCCGTCTCCTTCCTACCATGTACAGTTTGGCCATTTTCCTGTTGGACACATCAGCCATGACGTCATCATTTTCATCCCCGTCAGGGAGATCCGGCTTGTCACCAAGCACCTATGAACAGAAGTATTTTTTTTTTTTTATTTAATCCATCGGAGTAATTCAAACTTGATGGTAGCTCAAATGTTAGGTGAATGCCTTATGTAAATTAATTCCTTTCCAGGGAAGCGCAAACCCTGATGGAGTTTAACAAGGAAATCAGAATGAAACAAACCGGTATTTGTGGATTTTAGTAAAACAGACCACTGTCCTTTAAAGGTGTCCAGAGAGTACAATAATAATGATAATAATAATATATAAAATAAAATGCTAACACTTCACTTGAGGGGCACAAATAATGTAGTAGCACACTCTTACTTAATGTACTAATTAACCAGAAACTAGTTAGTTACAAGTTGGTAAGTTACATAGTGATCACCTGTTTGTTCATCATTAATGCATCATAACAGTTCATGTATTTACTGCAGTTACTATATTTGTTCATGATTTATACTTGAGTACTAACTGAGTTACTAAGTTACTTGTGTCCCTTCAAGTAATGTGTTACCAATAAAAAGTATAACAATCAAAATAAGATAAATCCCCTGTGTCTGAGTAATGAACGGAGTGCATCAAACGGGTTTCATGTAGACCTGTTGTTGTTGTTCATTATTCATGAACAAGTTGTTCATTTGGAAGCAAAATGATCTGTCACTGCACTGATTCATTCCGATCGTTCAATGAATGACTCATCCACCTGTTAAGTTCACCAGTAGTGTAATGTCCGAAAAAGTCTGGCTAATGGCTTTTTCCAATGGCTAATGTAGTTTCACAATAAATACAATTACTATTCTTAAGATAACATATTCTCGGATGATGTGTTGGAAATTAGTCTTTTATCTGAATGAACTTGAAAGAATCGATTTTCAGAGTGAATCGTGATCTCTGTCTCTAATTGCATGAGGGGCAAGAAATAGCCTTGCACAGTTAAGAACATAAGAACATAAGAAATTTACAAATGAGAGGAGGCCATTCGGCCCATCAAGCTCGTTTGGGGAGAACTTAACTAATAGCTCAGAGTTGTTAAAATCTTATCTAGCTCTGATTTAAAGGAACCCAGTGTTTTAGCTTGCGCTACACTAGCAGGAAGACTATTCCATACTCTAACTACTAGTTCGTACTGAAAGCACAAGGAAAATGACATTATAAGCACAATTGAACAATGCAGTGTGATATTCACTGGTATCTCTTGTGGTTTTAGTAATCTGACACTTTACAGCCTGGGTATAAGCTCGATATTTCTGAAATAGCTCACACTATGCATGAAAATGAAACTGCACTCTCACACTTCCGCATTACTGTCATGGACGCCGCACTGCGTCTCGCGCATGTGCTGCTGCTCCCACCTACCTGTGTCATCTCTGCTGGCTCGCTGCCCTCCTCCACCACCAGCAGCTGTGCCCGGCCGTTTCTCTCGTTGTCCCGGATCCCAGTGGCCACCTGCGCGGCCTTCAATCGCTCGAACTTGTTGCACATGGAACCACACCATTGATAGATCACCTAGATGGGGATGGGGGAGATGGGGAATTAACTCACTGTCTTACCACTGTGAAAACCGAGCGTTGTGCAATAAAAACAGCCAACAGTTCCGTCTTCTTATCCTGATATGCGTCAGATGACCAATAGCCCCGTTTCTCTTGTGGACAGAATATGACACGAGTGCACAAACCACAGTAAGTATCAGCATCTTTTATCACGTATTACATTTTGTGAAGCGGTCAAGTACAAAACCCCGTGGTATCGCTGGGGAGAAGTGCGGCTAAAGAGCACGGTGAATACTGGTGACTTTTCATCCTGGTCCGCAATAATAAAAATAAATAAAAGGAAGGAAAGTAGCCTTGTGCCATTAGTGGGGTTGTGGTGGGGGGGGGGCGGGGTGAGGAATATAAATAGGCTGCATGAATGTGCTTGTGTCATGTGTCTCTGGAGCGTGTCAGATGTAATTTGACTAATGATAAAATATACCGGTATTTGGCATATCTGGCAGTACTGTTAGTATGTGCTATCATATATCATATGTTATATCCCATACGCACGTGTGTTTCATTATATTGGACCACACTTATTATATTAAGTGATGCCAAACTTTTACAAAGGTGACGCCCTGGAAGCTTTCAAATATGGAACATGTGTAACCAGGAAGGACTGCAGGTTTCAATCAATAAAAAACTGTTAATCAATGTGGGCCTCAGGATTAGTGCTCATTGCAGGACCTAGACCTTAAACGCCGGAAACTATGTTCAAATACCTCTTTGTATGTGTCTTCAAGAATTAGTTTTATACGCTTGGTTCCACTAAGGAGAGCTCACTTGTTTTCCGTTTAAGCTTTACAGACTGTTCACAGCGTGAGGGTGACAGCTGCCGTGGGTGACGGTGTCGGGGCCCTACCGCACCCAGGTCCGCGATGAAGCAGTCGCCTCTGTTAAAGCTGGCCCAGCGGAGCGGCACCTCCGTGGCTCGCACCACCCTCCGGCCTTTGATGTGGAAGAGGCGCTGGGCCGACAGCTCATTGGTCACGACGTGATGGAACCCCGAGGCCACGCCTCCTGCCTGGGGGACAGTGGGGTGTCACACTGGGTCACTTTTTAATTCTGCAACACCACACTGGCAGAAGCGTTTCAGAGAGAGGCAGTAAAATGCATTTTGGAAAGATATAGTTACAGTTACATCTAAGTGACAACAACAAACGTGAATTCCATCCATCCGGTATCTATACCCGCTTATTCAATGCAGGGTCACGGAGGACTGGAGCTTATGCCGGAAGCTATGGGTGCGAGGCGCGGTATATCCCAGGACGGGGTGCCGCCGCATCACGAAAACACCAGATCTCTGGAGCGCTCCTAGTCGTGCAAATATTAGCGATGCACTCTGGTTGATGCAGTGGTTGTGTAAAATTTACACGACAGGAGCGGATGGCTGCAACTAAGCTGCTTCTGTGCCGACCCGATACAGAGAGACATTTTCAGCATGTAGCGAGACTGACTGACTGAGTACTTTTGAGACATTGCACGGCTCAATGTCTGAGACTCCTTGTCTTCAAACAAGCAGTAGTGACGAGATTTAGGAGGAACCTACAGCCTGCATGTACATTAGCTTGTCTGGCCACTAAAAGACACATTGGTGAGTGTTAGCTCACCTTGTAGGTGATGCCGCCCTTGAAGTAGCTGGTGAAAGCGGTGGACTCAAAGCCCTGCAGCTCTCGGTACTGGACCGGTTTGCCTCCCAGGTAGTCGTCCATCTGTACGGTGAAGATGGCTGCCGCAGAGCTCTCATCCTGGGTGCATTCCTTACCTGGGCACACGGGTATAGGTGGGCGGGGCCACACAGGTATAGGCAGGGCCATACTGTTGAAGGCGGAGCCACACAGGTATAGGTGGGCGGGGCCACACAGGTATAGGTGGGGGCATACTGATGAAGGCGGGGCCACACATGTATAGGTGGGCGGGGTCACACAGGTATAGGTGGGTGGGGTCACACGGGTATAGGTGGGCGGGGCCACACAGGTATAGGTGGGTGGGGTCACACGGGTATAGGTGGGCGGGGCCACACAGGTATAGGCGGGGGCATACTGGTGAAGGCGGGGTCACACAGTTAAACTACCTGTCCTCGCACTACGGACAGGTCCTAGGCTCTTTTCCCACTGACACAAACAGCTAAAATAATCTCAAAGATGAAACTTATGAAACATACCAGAGCATTTCCAGTAATAATTCAGAAGGGTTCTTTCCTCACTTTTTGTGAATAACATTACGAAGGTTCCTTATGGAGCACCACCAGAGACGTTAACACGCTGTGTTTATTTCTTCACAATTTTGCACCCTTTTTTGCACTTTTGAGTAAGCCCCACACAGCCATGAAAGTAAAATAGCTACAGGGCTAATTGTATGTGCTGGAAATTGTGTGTATTCTGAAAGGCCAGTAATGAGGACTATCTATGGATGGAGCACTGAAAGACAATCAACATCCTGCCGTGGCGGAAGAATGTACATTAAGAGCCCATTATTTGCCGGAGTGTCAAGGACAGAATAACATCTCAGCATTCCGGGGGACTCACAAAGGCACGGAGATCAATCGATTTACCAGATGCACTCATCCACGGCTTCAGTGTACGAAAAAGCTTTTTAGTCATCTATACACTTCGAACTTTACTCGGCATCAATTTTTTATGTAGTTAATGTGACCAATTTAGAGGATCCATTGTTGAGGGAATTTTAGCCCACGATGAGGAAGAAGATGGATGAAGAATAGAACAAAAATGAAGGGAGAAAAATAGTTTGTTGCTCTGGCGCTGTCAAAACTCATTAAGGAGTGACATAGCAAGTACAGTTTAGAAACAGGGGATGCGTAAACCACTAAGGAAACACACTTTCCTATGGGCGTGATTAAATATACTGTTAATTCCGCATCAGACCATTATCAAGAGGGCTGTCTGAGATGCTCTGATAAAAGGCCAATTGGCTCAGCATTTCAGGCCTGGTCTGATCACAGGAGCAACTTGTCACAAGGATGACACACTTTGCAGCATGGGGAGCTTTATGGAAAAGTCAGTGACCACATCATCAGCACGAGAGGTAAGCGCTCCCATTAGGGAACAAGAAGGGAGAAGTGAAATGTAAGCATTCCCGGGAAAATTCATGTTGGCACAGTCTTTACACCCTCTAGTTCGATCGTGGTGCAGGTTTGCAGATAAAACATGTTGCAATAAGAGTCTCGTGGTTGAAACATGGTGGAAATGCCGCACAGGAGCCCCAGCAGATGAGCAGGATTACATCGCCAGGGCGAAAACCGTCATGAAGTGAAATTCTAACAGAACTACCAGTATAGTAAACCAAGTTTCCTGTGGAATTTTACCACAACCCCCCCCCCCCCAAAGTAGCATTACTGAGATGGATTCCTGCTCACCAAGCCAGTAGTGGAGGTCATAGAAGAAGGAGTCCCTCTGTTTGGATGTTCGGAGCACCAGGTAAGCATCTCCCACGTAGAAGCTGCCGTGCAGGTTATTCGGTACCTGGACCAGCTCCAGCTTCTCTATCCTCCAGATCTGGAGGCCAGCTGCCTTGCCGGCCTTCTCGAACTCCTGGTGGTACAGCACCATGGCGCAAGCCGAAGGGTCAGTGAGGAGAGCGTGAGGGACACAGTGCGTGCTTCTGTTCCCTGGGAGGACTGAGTCAGTAGCGGCAGTGTGCGGCGTTTTTCAAACAGGGAGACATGCAGTGGGTGTGCCCAGCAGCCGCCAAAGTACACACACACGCACACACTTTCCCCCCCTCTCTCTCTCACGCGCACACACACAAACTCTCACATACACATAGAAACAGACATAGGCAAAGAAAAATACACAGTTGAATTCCAGGGTAAAAATATAAACTGTATCACTGTATCAATATGATGTTGAAAAGGCTGAAAGTCTCTCTCTCTCAACTGCATTCACCTCCCCGAACTGAGATCCAAACAGATACTAAACTGCTTTAAAAAGAGAATGCAAACAGCTGTTAAAGACTGTTTTTTTTGTTTTGTTTTTTTACTGTATTTGTGTCCTGGAGCAATACTGAATATTTATACCATTGAGGCCCTGAACAAAAGATGAAAGTGGCTTCATAGACATGATATCTTAGCCAAAACAAAACAAAACAAAAAAAAACAGTGCAATGTGATATTTATAACATACAAGCGTTGCATTTTAGTATTCATCCCAAGAAGAACAGTTTGCTTTTATCTGAAGATTGCAGATACAGATCTAGCATTAATTATCTTATTCATTGTCTAAGAGTGGCTTTCTCTAAAAATTACTCTCCATCTCTGTGGTCAGCTGATAAATTGGTAAGTTTTATAACACCTGCTGACTTTTATAACACAGTACATGCTCCACCTTGTGGCCAAATTAAGTATTGAAAGCAGCTGCCAGTCAGACCTCCAATACACGTAAGTTGTTTCAGTTTAACGGGAAAATTACGTGCTGTGCGATGGATTTCCATATTGTCCAGGGGGTTCCCTACCTCGGGGCTCCTGGCTTCGTGTGTCCCTCTGCTGGACAAGTGATTAGAATGGATGGACATTGTCTTAATGTTTTTTCCTGACAAGCCAGTGCTAAAATATCTTGATCTGACCGAAATAAAGACTGGATTTAAGGAAATTGGATTTTGGTCACAGGTTAAACGAAAAACTACACTTAAGGAAGACATATATACTTTTGTCATACACTGGCACATGAAATTGACAAGTACGATGTTCAAAGTATTTCACAGTTCCCAACAAGGAAACGGCATTGTTAGGTGATTCTAAGTGTAAGAAGCTGGACAACCCATCCGTTGACAGGTCCAAAGCCCATACTGGAAGCTACTGACACAAGGCATATCCCAATACAGGCCCATATGAGAAACGGTTCATATAAGGCTATTAAGCATTTTGCTTATTTCAGTTACATATGACAACGTATGATGTATTTTAATATGTTCACTACAAGATTATGGCCACATTCAAACCAAAAAACACACTTTTTGGGAAAAGCCCATAAGAATATTATAATACTGTACTTTTACATGAAATTTACATTTCAACGTACGTGATAACATATAGCTTTAGAAGGAAAGACATGCGTACTCTTTAACTCTTTATATTGCTTTCTTGGAGTTAAAATATTGGAAGAAACTTAATGTCATCCATTAAGAAACTTAATGCCTCCAATGCAATCTTCCTTTCTAAATTCCTCTTAGCAAGTCTAATGTTATTTTTTAACAAAACCTGTAGACTTAGATACTGCTGCTTTATTTTCGAATCATTAGTTATTTTCCATTTGTATAACACAGCCCTTTTCCTCCTGACTTTATTCTTAATTTCCGTAGTAAACCACCTTGGTTGCAGTTTCCTAGATTTAGTTTTGCTGGAAACAGGTATGAAGTCCTCTTGCACTTGCAATAATGTGCTTTTAAAAAATTCCCATGCTATTTAGCTCCATTCAGTTTACAGTTTCTAGTTTCAGTCTCATACCATTAAAGTTAGCCTTCCTAACACTGTATACTTTTGTTTTGGACACTAAAATTACCTTCAAAACCTCAACCTAATTAACCACCGTTAATTAAGTTGTTAACTACAGTTTTACTAATCCACAAATGATGCAATGCAGTTTTTCATCTCTATGTGTCACAAAAATATAGCTTTCATTTCCGAATAAGAATACAATAATGTTTGCAGAGGGCTCTGAGGGCAGATAAGGATCGAGGCCTTTGTCAGACGAATCTGCGAGCAGGTGACACACCAGCTGTGGTCTAGTGACCCACGTCCTGCTTACAGAGGAATTGAAACATATGGCAAAATTTACATTTTTTTCTTTGGTTATTCTTCAGTTGGATGTGAAAAATTAAATATTCTGGGAGCCTGCCAAAGGATACTTCGATCGCAGACGATGCGTAGGCCAAAAATATATAAGCGATACGGGAAATGATTTGGATGACAAATCATATATCAATATTAGTGATATTTATTATTTGTTAGTGTTTTCAGTGCCGTTACGTTTACATTTTTAATAATGGGCCCAAATTTATTTGCTGGTTGTTATATTCGCGGGGATCTTCCGCCATTAGTGTAAACTTTTGGGTTGGTCCGTCTCAGGTGAGCGTAAGTATTTCTGTTGCCATATATGTTTCATTTGGGTAATTTTGGGGAGTGATGTGTTTTTTCTTTGCGAACGTCTAGAATTTTAATTTGAAATTTAAACACAACGGTACAGCGGCGGTGAAGCGTAGCAGAAACGGGCGTTTTTAAATGAGAAAACACGTTTTTTCCTTCCTTTTTCTTTTAGTATCTGGCTGATTAGGGCACAAGGTCTGCCAGTATTTTGTTGTACTTCTATTATATTAAATGGCTCTTTATTGTTTATATGAGTTTTAAACTTTAAAATATTACTTTAGCAAACTGCTATTTTAGATCGATGCCTCATACTTACGCTTTGCCTTAATCTCATGTATTCTTCATAATTTAATTCGGTTAATACGTGTATTTCATGGGGCTATTCCCGTTGTTTCCTTATGTACTGCGCTTTGTAAGACATCGCTAAATAGCTTATAGGGATATAGATAGGTCATAATATAAAGGGAACGTAATGTTTATTTTATTGTTTCCCTTCCCCATTTTCCTTTATAGCTCTTTTGGTGTATTCACCGTTTATATGAATCACAATAAAAACCCCTTTATGAAGCATCAATTGAGAATTTCACCATCAATCGGCCAGTGATGACATTTAGCCCTTGTGAATGTGAAGGGGTGACAAAGTTGTATAAATTCTCGGTAAAAATTAAAATCCATAGATAGTCTTGGCTTGGGTACGCCCCGCGTCTTCGTCTCGGCGGGAAGCCTCACTGCTTCTGTGAGCACGGAATCTCGCGATTCATGTTATAACTTTTAACCTTTTTAGCACCGTAAATTTTTCATTTTTAATAATGGATCCAAGTATTATTTGGACATTGTGACATTCGTGGGGGTCTTCTGCCCTTAGCACTCAAGAATGTGAAGGGGTGACTATATTAATATATTAGGATAATGGTTAGCAGTGCTGTTCCTGGCACCCCGTCCCCCTGCCAGAATGTTTTCATTCCAACCCACTTTGCTTTCAACCTGCCACATGTATTATTAGCTTATTAAAGACCATATGAAGCTGATTAAGGTAGAGGTGGACTGAAGACATTCTGGCGGGGGGGAGCCAGGAACAGGATTGCTAACCACTGTATTAGATATATTGTACAATTAAAAGACAACACTGTTACGTGCTATAAAACTTTTATTTAAGAATGCTCCCACACTATTAACAGTTTTTAAACAGGTCATCCAGGATCTGCGGCAGGATGAGCTCTTTGGGGTCAAGTTGCTGAGTTCTCCTGCTGCAGCTGGATCTGGGGCTCCACCATGATTTCCTGGCTCCCTTCGACTTGGGAGACAGGGACGTGTCCAGGTAATTGGAAAACATCCTGGACATCCAGTGCATGGGCAGTCTCGGGTGAAGTTTGGGTCCTGGAATATGTCGAGGTCCCATCCCTCAAACAAGTCAACAGGCCAGTCCGTTGTTGCAGCAGGGACTGGCCTCTCATCAGGCTGGAGGATGTTGTTCAGCAACTCCAGGTCCTCCAGGTTCCAGTTCTGTTCCACACGGGAGGGAACAGCATTCCATCCGTGCTGCTCTGTAGAACTTCCTGGCACAGGATGGTTCAGGAACTCAGACGGCCGGCTAGCTTCAGTATCTGCAGCCATTTGCCTGCTCTGCTTGGCAGCTCTTTTCACTTCCTCGATTCCACTCTGACCACCATTCTCCTCTCTGCCCTGACTCTGGACCTCTGCCTCCATGCACCTCTTTCTCTTTACCCCACATCTTGTGCGAGTTGACATGTCAGAGGAACTTTCAGGACTGGCACAATCTAATCCACTGTCCATGGACCAATATTGTGCAGTCCCATATGTGACATCCATCAGCCTCTGGTATTGTGAGCTGAAGCTGTTTGGATATCTATACTGCTTGGTAGCAAAAGTGGAAGCTTGAGCCTCGTTTCCTCGCTGGGGCTAGACGCTCCACACTGGAGTAGGTGCGACCAGTTGGAGCTCCACAGGTCCAGGGAATGTTGGCATGCTTGGCCCAGAGGCGGCCAGTACTCCCCCAGCAGTGTATATGCTGGGACCATCACCGTACGGGATGAACATGGCTGCCCTGTCCATTCAGTTACTGTGCAAAAAACATACAAGAGTTCTTAACACATAAGTGAATGACAATATTTATTTGATTGTTTTATCTCTTCTTTCAATCCAAACTGCTGAGAAATCACAATAGAAAATTACAATTTCTATTTCATATGACAAAATGTATGTTTGTACTGAGAAATATATACGTACCATTTAGTTGATAAAACATATATGGACCATTAATATGGATTCTCAGCATAAATGGTAAATTTCTTGTCAAAAACACCTTGACAGTTCTAAGTGAAAATTAGTTTGATGGAATCAACTGACTTAATATAGCAATTCCATATCTGTGATGTCATAACTCCCCTCCCAAGTCATTAAGTAAAAACATGAAAAATAGCGGCACAAACACGAAAAAAAATAGTCATAAATGCAAAATTTAGCTACACATTAGTATTCATTGTAGTATTAAAGGAGTGTTAATTTAGAGAGTTATTTGAATTGACTGAATTCATTTTCTTTAGTTACTTAATACACTGAGTCAGAATTATTCTCATAGTCTATGTCCAATAAAAAACCAAAGGTTGAACAGATCTTTCTTTCATTCATATCCCCAAAGCATTTATTCTGTCCAGGATTGTACACTGTAGATTCTGGAACCTGTCCCAGGAAGCCCAGGCACCAATAAAGCCTGATTCGTTGTGGGTCAGGTGAGCCAAACCCAGTGACCTCAGCCTCAGTATGACACACTTATAATGATTCAAGTTGCACCTGTATGACAGTAATCTGTAACTGGGCCTTGTCTACCAGCCATTCCTCATGCCAGCAAGCCAGAAGTTCTCCCCCAATCATTTTAATGTTACAGAGAATATGCACTTTTATATTCCCCTCTTGAATTCAAGTATAGCGCATCTAATCATTTGGCTAAAACAAACAAACAAAAAATCTATCTGTATATATATGTATACAGAGGTTTCTGCGATGGGTTGGCGTCCCATGCCTTGAGCCTGTAACCTCCAGGATAGGTTCCAGAACCCCCATGAACCTGAACAGGACAAGCGTTTTCAGAAAATGAGTTATGTTTTTAATTTTCTACCTGTAACCCCTAAAGTGACACCAAGTCCCACAATCATGGATTCAGTTACGAATACCATAAAATTATCGCACACATATTTGTAGAAAGAATATCACAAAAATGTATTTGACAGATATTCAACTGTGAAGCATAAAAGTACAATATTCCACAGACTCTCCTTATAATAAACCAACAAAAATTTGCCAGGTGTTTTCCCCCATGTCAGTGAAGGATTTCAGTTTCCTTGCAAGAAACAAGTATGGGACTGGGTATACAATAAATGACCACTCGGGGTCCTTGGTTCATCCCTACTGATGGTGGGTCACACTTAAAAACAATAACGTACATTTCAGCATCCACACTCCTTCCAAGTGGTAAGCTTCTGCAAAAAAATATTAACAAAAATAATAAATAAATAAATGGAAAAATCATTTCCAAATTTCAAAGTGTGCTGCTGCCCCCTGCAGGCATGCAATGGGAAGTCAAGGCGAAGGTTTAGAATTACAGTGTTAATAACCACCAGAACTTTTGGCCCCTTGGGAAACATGACTGCATTTCAGACTACAGCTGAATGGTAAAATCAGAGGTACCACAAACACATTCGTATGTGAGCACGCACGCACGCAGGCGGTCCAAGAAAACTGAGAATTTGACTTTGAATGAAATAGTTTTCATTCTGTAAAATCTGTGTATTCCAGCTTCATAAGGTGGATGACTCAAACCACAGTACAAGAGAATAAAAGTAGTTTACACACAACAAACTCAACTGGTAATATGTGAGTATGGGTTGACTTTAGTAGTACTAACTCTGGCTCTAGTGCCTACATTAACACCCTACCTCTAACTGGCAGTTAATGGAATGATAAATAACTTAATTTGGCTTTTTATATATATATATATATATAAATCATAATTCATATCAATGCAATGCATGAAAATTGAAGCTTTTTAAAATGTTTGTTTTTACTGACAAAGTGCAAATATGCAAACCACCAAAATATTGTAAACACCACATACAACAGCACAACCAGCTACACACTGGCCCTAAATGGAAATTTAAATGCATCTGAAAGGCATCTCTAATCCTCCAGAAACAGTTTAAGAGCAGCGGGATGAGAGCTTTCGCTGGCGAGGACACATCCTGCCGTCTGCTCCATCCCTCCGTGGCGGCGGTACTGTGGGAACGGGATGGTCTCCGGACCACGAGGCCAGAGCAGGTACAGGGCGGTCGGATGTGGAGGACGATCTGGGCTATGGCTCAGCAGGACGACACTGCAAACTGCTCCTGTGTGCCTGGGGGCCTTTGGGGACTGGGGTGGCAGGAAGTGTTTAACAGGGCCGGACTGGAGAGGTTACTGGTGGGCTATCAGACCACTGGACCCCGTGGAGTGCCGGCCTGTGGAGGTGCTGTTCCCACCGCAGTCCACATACTGGTATCTCTCCTGGGACACCTGTTCCGTATGGCTGAAGTAGGATGTGGTGATGGTCACCCTACAGGCAGGGAAGTGAGACAGAGACAGAAAACACGTGTGAGAAAGTAAGCAAAATTTATTTATAAAACATTTTTTTAAAACACTCAGTGTTTACCAAAATGCTGAAAAGAGAGTAAACAAGCAGCACACAAAATAAAGACATATGTTGAGTGCAAACGGACATTAAAATATCTCAAAAGCCCTAGAATAGAGATCCGTTTTAAGGCAGGATTTAAAAGGAGATATTCTGAGAGGTTCTAAGATGAGGTGGCAGACTATTCCACAGCTGTGGACCATAAACTGCAAAAGCACAATCCCCTTTACATTTTAAGATAGACTGGGGACAACCAAGGGAAGATTGTGTAATGACCTTAGTTAGTCCATTTGTGGTGAAGGAGTTTGCATATGTCAGAAGGCACCAGACCTTTTAAGGCCTTGAATACAAACAATAAAACTTTTAATTGGATCCCTGGCTGTGTGTGTGTGTACATGCGTGTAGATCATATCATAACTGTGACTGATCACATCCGCTGTTACACCCCACCTATCCGGATATCAGACTCTCCACAGGGACAACAGCATACAGGAAAATATGGAAAAACAGCCCCCCCAAAAAAAAGCATGAGGCAGTTAGGTTTTTATTAAGAAGCTCATAAAAATTTAAATAACTTAATGTAATATAAAATTCTAGGTCTGCGTAGTACTTTGGAACAAGACCAGTCATTCAATACATTCATTAAAAACTAAACAAATTATATGAATGTATAACAAAACAATCTACAAAATAGCAATATACAAATAATATAAAAGCACTAATAATGTATTATGTATACACACACACAGAAAGTCTGTGCTGTTTAAATACAAATCTGATCACTTACTGCATTACGAGCACGATGTTGTGCACCTTGATGGACTGCAGGGTGCAGTAATAACTGAAAAACCAAGCAAACACACAGACCAGTCACCTCTTCTGCTTTCTCCAAACACACAGGATGCACGGTGGAGCCCCTTGAGGGGAGATACTTACTATATGTAGCTAATTTCATCTGCTATGACGGTGTGAACGGTGAAGTAAATCTGAAAGCCAGAGGACAACAAACACAGAAGCTGCTAAGTTTGCGTAACTGTGCAGATTATTAAATATGGTAACGTAGAGGAGGGGTTACATAGCACAGGCAGTCTGCAACTACTGGACTTAGAGCCCTTGTGTAAACCCCCGTTAGGCACAAGTCATGGTTCACTTTTCCGCGTGCCGTCACAAGTCGCGCACAATGCGTGCAACGTAAATTTCATCATCAGCGTTGTCCGCGCAGACTGTGCACATGCAGCCGGGTATGGCTGATACCCGATCTGTCAAATACGTCCGGATTGGCGCGGATACCGATCTGAATATCAGATCGGTTCATCTCTAATATAATCACTTAACCTCTCCCATGAAACAATTTCTTTGGAAGTAAATAGAAAGTCGTCTTTTCATTCTCTAAACACCTGTATCCACGATCAAACATACGGCATACCGACAGGTATGACGGTCACCTAGCCGGATAACACAGGAGGGTGCCAATGCTGGGGTGTGACACGGCACCGTCCAGCCGCTGGGGACCAGGGCGTGTTGTGTACCTGCTGCCTGTCCAGCGGCCCCACGTAGCTCACGTTGCTCAGACGGGACTTTCCGATCACTGTCCTAGAGAACTGAACTTGCGCTGTGAGGTTGGCCACCTCCACGGAGTAGTAATTATTATTGGTGATGTTCAGGGTGTTCTGGGAGAGACACAGAGGAGGGAATGTGATCTAGTCCACAATCACCAGCTTCATTAGCAGCTCACTACCATGGGGACCTTCCCCTGGGATGGCGTCTAACAGCCACGGTAACCCTGCTAAAGGCTGGATGTTTATCAAGGCGGTTTGGGCTTTTACATGGAGATCAAATCCTTTGAGGTTAACAGTGATAATCTACAGACTTGCTAGATCATAAACAAATGAACTGTTTTTAAAAACACATCTTTCTTTCCTCTAACTGGAAAATGTAATACTGTCCCAGTTTTCAGAAACACTTCACAAATCTATTATGTGTCTAAAATCAGAGCACCCCAAGGGGCTTACCGTGATGTTGAGATAGACGATTTTTTTACTATGGTCATAGGTGACGTATGCAGACTTTAGCTCCACGGAGGACACGTCAATGGAGCGAGGGAACAGGAAGAAGAGGGCCAGTCCAGACAGAAGCAGGCACACGACCACTGACACGGTGACATACAGCTTCCTATTGGACGACATGCCTGCTTGTCAGCAGAGGAAGAGCGGGACGAAGCGCTGCTTCCCACAGAGGTATAGTTTCATACTGTCATGTGACTAAACATCACTGTTAACTTGAGCATGCTTGCGACTTGAGCCGTTTCTCTGTAATACAAGCCATCTGACAAGGCATCCAAATGGTGAAACTTGAATCATGATTGACATTCACCACAGTCATACATACATCCCTCCACAGAAGCATGTATTTAACAATGTCTCAGCCCAGGACTGGCCTCTGAATACATTTTAACTGCCTGAGTTTCTGACAAAATCGGTTAGGACTGCACCTCCAGCCAGGTTTGAGCCACATTTAACTACCATGTCCTTACGGGCATGAACTGTAACCCACTCAGTGGGGCTAATATGCTAAATCTGGGCTTGATATTCACCCAGTGCTGCTGGTTTGGACATGAGTCTCGTTTCTTGTGAGATAAACACAACACGTGTTAAAGATGACCAACAGAAGACTCACATTTAGCTTAAGATTCAATCAAACAATGAAAGTGACTTCAGCATCAGACTGAAGACACAGACAGGTCTGTGGTATAGCATTACCAGACTGAAACCTGGTGTGGGAGGGTCTCTGAACTCACGTTCTTTGTGGACGGAGTCTCTGGTCGCTGTATGGAATCAATGCAACAAGCTGATTTTCTTGTCCTGTGTTGACAGAGGCAGTTTATTATCAATGGCCTTTGGGTGTGTAGACAAAACTTTGTCAACCATTCGACAACAAACTCACCAATCGCAGTTTCTGTAGAAGACAGCACTGCCTGGCAGACTTACTGAAAACTTCACTAAAGATACTGCTCACGACTTAAAAATGAGGTCAAAATTCTTTTGCATCATATTGCATCACTTTTATCCAATTACTCTTTTAAATCACTATCTCTGAGTTAATTATTGTAATTAGCATCTGGAATTAACGATGTTTAAAATTACCGAACCGGTTTAATTTCCGTGCCAGGCAGGAGGGAGGAGGCGAGTAAGGCATGTGTGTACCTCGCGGGATCCTGCCCGTGCCCTGACACGTGGGACACGTGACACTGTCCCTGCCAGTGAACTCCATGTAGGGGTAGTGGGACACGTCACCATCCTTGCCATCCTTGCCATCCTCACTGTGAGAGTTAGGTGACTCCGGGGCTTCAGTCAGGCTGTCGCAGTCCTCAGCGTTTTGCTTCGTCAGCCGGGATATAGACGTCCCCATGGCGGGGGTTGCTGGATGCTGGGAGATGGGCGGTAAGGGGGGGCGGGCTTTACGTTAGGGATTTTCTGACTGGACTGGATGATCTAATCCCACTTCAGCAGATCAACCAGTGAAAAACCTGAGTCTTAAACTGCTACCTCCCTTGTTGCTTTTCATCAATCAACTGAACATTCATCACTGGACATTAATGAAGTTCAAGATATTTATGTCAAAAGTCAACCAAAATTAGCCAGGTCTTAATTCTCACCCTTCGTCCAATTAAACTCGAAATATTATAAAATTGTAAGGAGAAATGTAACGTAAACTTAATACACTGGGAATTATGTATTAAAAAAAAAAAAAAAAAGAAGTACCAGAAAGACCTTGGAAAGACCATATGAAATTCATTTTAGTAGAAGTTTGCATAAAGCTATAAATGAATCGATATTTAAAAGGAGTGTAATACCTTCTGTACTGCTATTCAAGACACAAAGAAATTGATACATGCCTTTGCATACAGTAGGATAGACTGCTGTAATGCTCTTATCTGGGAGCCCACACTGCACATTAAACACCTTGCAGTGAATTCAAAACGCAGCAGCTCGATTTGTCACCAGGAGCAGGAAGTTTGAACACTTAACCCCTGTTCTTAGTTCCCTGCACTGGCTTCCAGTTAGGTTCAGGACTGACTTCAAAGTTCTCTTACTTACATATAAGACACTTAAAGGTCTAGCTCCTGCCTACCTGACAGAATTACTTCAAGGTTACAATCCGCATTGTTCACTCAGATTACACAACGCAGGTTTCCTTGTCGTTCCACATATAAATAAAGTGAGAGTGGGCGGTAAAGCATTCTGCTACAAGGCCCCTATATTGTGGAATGGTTTACCAGTCTATGTTCAGGATGCCAATTCAGTCATGGTCTTTAAATCTTGACTGAAGACCCATTACTTCAGTTTAGCTTACCTGCAACCTAACACAACATAATTATGGCTGCTGGTGCTGTTGTACATGCCATTTTTATCTACAGTGCTTGTCCATTTATGTGTCAATGCATGTTCCGACCATCCATGCTCTCTGCCTTCCCACATGTCTGGGTGGTGCCCGGGGTGGGCACCATCTGAGCTGGAGTCCTGGTTCAGTCCCATGGAGGGGTGACATCACAAATGGGACATACAAACTATATCATCGTGGGTGCAGCCTTCAGTACCACCCTACACAGGCCAGTGTGGAGAACAGACTTATTGATGGACTTTGTCTTGATCCTTAATCACAGCTTATACCCAGCTTTCAGCAAGCAAGTCGGTATTACTCTCGCTAATGATGTTTAATGCATCACAACACATCCATGTAAAGCGCCTTCGGACGACTCTGTTGTGAAAGGTGCTATATAAAAATAAATTGAATTGAATAATACATACAGCCACTTTTGCCAGCATAATTTGCAGTTATCGGCGTGTGAACAAAAGCCAGCGAAACCCGATAATACCGCAACCTTCCAAAGAACTATTTCGTGAACTTAGTGACATTTTTTTAGGCTCGGTGATCAAAGCACTTCTCATATTTGATCGGCAGATCTTATGCGGCTAAACGCCATACCCATCGTCAGCGTAGTTATCCTTCCTTTTTAAACAAACTAGGCCAAATTGGGTGCATTCATACTAAGTACAGTTTACAATATATGTACTGATGCTGCGGTAAAGTTAAAACCACCCAATAATTGCTAGCCATCGCCCAAATAACGGCGGACAAGCACAACCTCCAGTGCCAACGACACCATGAGACGGCAGATCCCATTTATACCCAAAAAAATGACACAGGTTGCTGGTACTTCTGGCCTAAATAACCAGCTGCCTCGCAAATCTACACACCGTTGACTGTTGCCTCTAAGCATCACGTTTATATTTTCTTAACTGCGGACTGCAAAATGGGTTGAAAACACATAATCAATCTCCTACCTTACCGATATGATTTAGTCCCAATGCCAAGCACAGCCAAACCGCTCTTGTTTATTTCTATTACACAAGCGCAAAATATCGCGACTTCCGGTACGAGACCTGTAAGTACGCAATTTCCGGTCTTCCAGGGGCGTTTCCAGAAGGATCCGCGGTGGTGTGGGTACTGTATATTGCTATTACGGGATGCAATAGAAATAGAAATGTGGATTTGAGTCGCGAATACGCTGCCGATCTGAATCAGCCGTGTTAAACTATTAAACTATTCAAGTAATAAAGGACTTTAGACCATCTACCAAAGCTGCACCCTCTCCATCCCATGTATTTACAAAGATTTTCATTAAATGGCTGATTACCTTTAATTGTGTGCACTGACACAATTAAACTCAATTAAGGAACTGGACATTTGTTTTCCCCATTTGGCTTGCTTTTCGTTAGTTTTCAGTGTTACTTATTTTTTAGTTATTTTTCAGTTACTTTTCTATTTGTTTCTCACCAACGGCGCATGCGCCTGTTATGGACGCGCTGCTTCGAGTAAGTAGAACGATAAATGCGTATACAAAAGTGCACCTGTGTTACGCCACTTTAGTCACATATAAGTTAAAATGTTTTCCATAAAATACAAACTAATAAATATATTACCTGACTAACTACATATATAGTATGACCAACAAGCAGAAACGAAGTCTGTCCAACTTTGGTTTTCGATTACTATTGGGGGCGGGGGGTAAAGAACGCAATATATTGAAGAGGCCGGGTAAAGCCTTTTTATCTGGCTAGCATAGTTTAACATTAGAATACATCGAAAGGAATAGTAACGATAAAAAAAACAACTAGAACTTCTTCAGTTTTCCAAAAAGTCACTCATATCTTGTTGTAAAACTTCTCCTCAGACGCGCCCCAGCCATTCCGTGTATTCTATAGATTTCATTGCTGGCTCACATGAATAATTATAGTAATTTGACGAGGCATTGATTGGCCAAACATATGCTAACGGTAGAGTCAACAAATTGCATGGTTACTGCCTATAGTAGGGAGATTTTAAGAGCAGTTTTGAAATGAATCAGTCGGCACTCTTTGACAGATATAATATCATAGTTTTACATCAAGGTCGGAACATTAATGGTAACGTGCAATAAGCTCAGTACAGAAGAGACCAGTAGAAATGCTGCAACATGAAGAGGAATCTCACCAGTTAAGGAAACTGAATTTGTTGACCTTAATTAGTCATTATGTTACGTGCGAAATTATAAAACCAGCCAAGCAATAAAACGTGATACAAAAAGAATATAGTAATACTAACCTTGGGACCCTTATGTTCTGCGCAGGACGCTGGAAGATGAATGGATAAGTATTTAATTACTGTAGAATAATATTAGGATCTTTTTTTCAGAAATTCAGTGACCTGTGTATTGTGTTATGTCATTACAGTATAATATTAAGGCATTCTGCAGTTTGAGAGCAGTATAGGAATCGTACACATTGGGTTTTGCTGAAACGATTTCCCTGGTCATTTGCGCTGAAGGTGTGGAAAAGGGCAAAGCTTCTATTCTATAGTCAGCTCACTGTGCCATCATCTTTGAGATCGTATCTTAAATTGTATGTAATGTAATTCCATCTACCAAATATCCAGCCATTCAGGGCCATGCTTCCCGTCTGCATTAGTTTAGGCATCTTTTAAGAGAAATATGAGGAGCGTGATTATTCAATCAGTTTTTCTTTATCAGTATTGCCTTCATGATTGTGGGCATTATTTCGTCTTTGAAGACAGAGTATAAAAAGGAACAGGAAATCTTTATTGGCAGAAGGGATAAGCGTTCTCTTATGATTTGCCTTTGAAGCCCTTCCCTGCAATTGCAGCTCAGCACTCCGCTTGCATTTTTATAGCTATTTCGGCTTTCACCACCGTTAACCTCCGGCCCAACCAAATTCTTCTTCTTCTTAGGGGTCCAAGTAGCGTAGCTGATGGAACCCTATTATATTATTATTATTTATTGTTATTATTTATTATCATTATTATTGTTTTACGGGATTTGCTGTCCCCATGGAGAACTAAATACGAAAGTGTAGCCATAGTAAAGCCACGCAGAGTTTTCCATAATTGCTGTCCAATAGAGGCACACAGGGAGCCTGCAGCTTATACAGTCTGAGGCAGGGGGCGCCCTATACTGCATCCCAGTCTGTCACAGAGTAAACACTTGCACACAGAATCGATAATTTAGGAACACATGTTCCTCTAGCTGCATGTTTTTTAACTGCAGGAGGACATTGCAGTAGTCAAAGGACCCTCCAGAAAATGCTGGTAGACGGTGCAAACTTTAGATACACAACTGAGATTGTTAGTTTATGTAGCTTAGGCTGCATTTGTTCCTGGTTTGCATTGTAAGGAGAAATTGTATTTTTTTCATTGTTTTTTTCCGCAAATCTTTGACTGGGGCAGCAGGGAAATTAAGTTTTGCTCTTTCTTGTTTTCACCACACAGTGGCGCTGCACTCATGGTATAAGATCCCTGCATTGAAGGGAATTTTAAATGCTGAGCATTTTCCACTTCCAGTACTTTTGCACTTGTCATACCAAGAGATGCACAAAGCTGGGTCAAAGCATTAGATACTTATCCCACTTAAGCTAGGCCTGTCAGCAAAAAAGTATGAACTTGCATTGTACCATTTTAGAATAACGAATTTTCAAAATAATATGCTTTGCAACTGGGGTGGTATGGTGGTGCAGTCGTTAGCACGGTTGCCTCACACCTCTGGGACTTGGGTTTGAGTCTCCGCCCGGGTTCCATGTGTTTGGAGTTTGCATGTTCTCCTCCAGGTGCTCTGGTTTTCCCTCATAGTCCAAAAATATGCTTTGGAGTTACCAAATTGCCTGTAGCTGTGCATGTGTGAGTGAATAGTGTGTGTGTGCCCTGTGATGGGTTGGCGCCCCATCCTGGGTTGTTCCCTGTGATGGGTTGGTGCCCCATCCTGGGTTGTTCCCTGCCTTGTGCCCTGTGATGGGTTGGTGCCCCATCCTGGGTTGTTCCCTGCCTTGTGCCCTGTGATGGGTTGGTGCCCCATCCTGGGTTGTTCCCTGCCTTGTGCCCTGTGATGGGTTGGTGCCCCATCCTGGGTTGTTTCCTGCCTTGTGCCCTGTGATGGGTTGGAGCCCCATCCTGGGTTCTTCCCTGCCTTGTGCCTGTAGCCTCCAGGATAGGCTCTGGACCCCCCACGACCCTGAAGAGGACAAGCGGTTACAGAAGATGGATGTTTTGCAAACTCTGACAAGCCACATCAACTTGGGAGAGATGTGGACAATGGAGATCGCATATGTGCGGTATTTTTTTGGTGTTGTATTTTCGTCTCTTTTTGTTGCTCTATACGGCAGTCTAGCGAGATGTTTCACTAAGAGGACTAACAAGGCAGCTGTCGTATATTTTTATTTTGTCACTGTCACTGTCTGAGGATCGCCTTTTCTGTGTCGTTTTGCCATCCACACAGCCTTTACTTGCACTTTCCCCAAGGAAGGGGGGAGCAACAGCAGTGACAAATGTATAAAAGCGAGTCATGCGCTGCTTCTGGCCCTAAATATATCGAGCATGCTAATTAGGGTGATTTCCCTTTAGGACGTAAAACTGTGACCATCAGGAAAGGTGTGGATTTGACTAAATTGGCTCTGGGGAATTGGCAGGGAATGCCCGGAATATGTCCGCCAGAGCAGGCCTGTGAGCTGATTTGTAATTGCCATGCTGCATGGGGGTGTAATGGATATGATAAGAGTAATATGCATGCTAAGGTGATTGTGCCATGTCGCCCCCTGCTGGTCTGCCAAATCTCTCATTTCTCACCGATTGATGGCCCTTTCATTAGTGCTGCGGACTTACAACCTCACACCCCGGTAATCAGTGTTTCATCTGTGTTCTTTCTCCATTACGGCCCCCTGCACTTGGATTATTACTCGCCAGGCATTTCCGTTTCTCTCCAGGTTCATTTTCCAACATGCACCTGAATGTCAGTAGCAGTTATTGTTAATTAGTTTTGAAAGTAAGTTTTAGATTTAATTAGAGGCTTCTTTACTCGGTCAAATGGTCATACCCGGAAAGCTATTTTAGTTTAGTTATTGTCATGCTTGAGAGGCAACGTTACCAAGATCGAATTATGAAGGAATAGTAGAGAGAATTGAAAAAAAAACACAGGAATATATTAAAAAGAAGCAATTAGCTGAATATGTTGCTATATATACTGGAAGGGTCATATATTCTGTTTCACTTTCCATTTTAATTAGTTTGAGCTAAACGTTGATTAGCGGGTGTCTGCTTAGCCGACCATCATCTTGTCTTTTTTAGCAGATGCTAAAGACAGAGTGCAGTTGTAGCCCCTGAAAGGCCCTTTTCTTAGTGTGATGGAACGTTATCCTCCATCTGTCTGTCCGTCCTTCCAAATCAGTTCTTTCCAGCTGAGATTTCCATACGTGTGCATTGAAGCTAACATTTCTAAATCATTAAAAAATCCCATAGTAAAGCCATGAAGATTTGTTTCTGACTACTGCACAAGTAAAATGTACATTAATTTGCCTGATATTCAGAATGAATAACTGTAATTTGAGAATACCTTAAAGAGGGAGTCATTAATTAATGGTCAGAAATATCAAAAATGGCTCATACAAGCTGAGCATAGCTCCATTAAATGAGGACACATACTTAGACTCTCTGCTGTTATCTAATGGCTTTTTGTAGAATTTATTTTTGCAGGGAACACTATTTTTTTTCCCAGAAAAGGTAGCAAATCAGCCTTTTAAGCTAATGGTGATGCGGTCTTTTAATTAGCTCCTTAACTGACTGTAATGTCTAGCTGTGATTAAAAATTAAATTGCTTTACCCAGTTGCAATGCATGGAGGGAGAGAGAAAATTTACATGAATTTGTAATTGCAGGCAACCCAGAAAAGCATAGCATAACGTAACCTTTTGGAAGTTCGTAAATATTAATGCGTCCGTGCTAAGTGCTGGTTTAACTCCCTGCAGTCATCATGCGAACAGGCCACGGACAGCCAGCAAAGGTAGACTTATTTATGGGGGAAAAATAAAACCAAATTGAGAATACTTAATAAAGATGCAGTGACAGGGTAAACATGCAGGCAGTGGAGGACTATATCACAGCTGTCAGCGTCCTGTCCACGGCGTCCCTGCAGCTTCCTGGGATGGACTCCAGGCTCGTCTTGATCCTGCGGCAGATAACCAGCTGTTGCAAGGGGACAGATGGATGGATGGTACTTGCCAAAGGTATTTTAAGTGTTCAAACGATACAGCAGCCCCCCCCTCCTCACTGTCACTCATCTAGTCGTTCTCTGTTTTCCTTACACACATCCAGTTCTTCTAATACTCTAATAATCAGGGCTGGCCCAAGGCACAAGCAAACCATGACTGCTAAGGGCCTGGCGACCAGCAGGGGGCGCCCCCATCTGATCAGCCTGTCTGACCGGGAAGGAAGGTGACAAATGACAACTAGGTTAATCAAATTTTGCTTAGGGCCCCGAAAATGGTTGGGCTGGTCATGTTGTTTATCTGAGAAGCCGTGTGTCCTGGGTTTCATATGGTGAGAACGTGCAGCCACATCCTACATGCTGGCTCATCCAGAGCAGTTAGCCGGGGGGTCAGGAGTCAGACATGTCCTTTCCGGCAGGGGGGTCAGGAGTCAGGCATGTCCTTTCCGGCGGGACGGGGTCGGGAGTCAGACGTGTCCTTTCCGGCAGGGGGGTCAGGAGTCAGGCGTGTCCTTTCCGGCGGGACGGGGTCGGGAGTCAGGCGTGTCCTTTCCGGCGGGACGGGGTCGGGAGTCAGACGTGTCCTTTCCGGCGGGACGGGGTCGGGAGTCAGGCGTGTCCTTTCCGGCGGGACGGGGTCAGGAATCAGACGTGTCCTTTCCGGCTGGACGGGGTCAGGAGTCAGGCATGTCCTTTCCGGCAGGGGCCATCTGTTTATCTTGGATTCATGACCTCTTGCTTTCGGGAGTCTCCCCCGCTCCTTGATGCTGGGTGTATCTGGGGCACGTTATGTGTGATCCTTACTCTGTTATGCCCGTCATGCTTGGGCTTCGTCTGCTCTTCTGTTCATATGCAGCCTGCCATTCTGTGTGTGGGGGATGTTTAGGAGTCCTGCCTGGCTGAGTTCCAAAGATGTAGCCATTTTCATGTGAGTCCAAGATGTGCTCGAGGCTGTTCGTGATATCAGGAGCTGAGGGGAAATAGGTGTGGTCAGGTGACAAATCAAGACAGAGCTCTAGGGTATATATCATGTAATTCACAACATCCTAATCCCTCCTCCGTAACACTCCTTTAACTTCATCAAATGGTGAATTCATCCTCCCAAGCTTCAAACGCCCTGCTCTGTGCAAAAGAAGAGAAGAGGAGACTGCCAGTAAATGGTCAGAAGGCCAGGAGAAGTATGGCAAGAGTGGGCAAAGCTGAAGCCAGCAGGGCGGCACCAGAGATCCACCACCTGCTCATAATTACACACGTCTTAATGCTCGGCCATTAACGCACAATAGGAACGGTGTTCCTCTAGAGGATTCAGCACCTTGGAGAGCAGCCCGTCCACAGCAGGGAGAAAGGAGATGCAGGATGGAGGGGAAGAGAGTGCGAGACTGAGAGATGGAGAGAGGGGTGGAGGAGCCAAGAATGGAAGATGGAGAGGTGGAGAACATTTGGCGGTTGGGGGGGGGGATACTGTTAAACGATGTAATTTTAGTGGCTCTCAGCGGTAAACAGTGAAAAACATATTTGTAAGAGTATCTCTGTCAGAGATGCCAAGCTCAGATAGATCCTGACTGATATGGGCTCAGCGAGCACAGGCTCTCAGTAGGAACAGGCGGACACAGGCGGACCTGGCTGTGCGCAGAAGGCACGCTGTGCGGTTACTGTGAGACAGGAGGTGTGAAAACACGTACACGGTGTGAAAAACACGCAAAGACAGGGAGAAATTCAATTTAATAAAATCAGCAAGTACCCCCTGTGCTCACTCATCTGAATCAGAGAAATGGGCCATGGGTATATGGGCGGGGGGGGGGGGGCGCTGCTGTGCTAAGTGCCTGGTTTGGTCTGCCACAGAAAACCAGTGAACGCCAACCTATTTAACTTTCCCTTTTTTTTTCATTCTGTCCATCAGCCCATCGTCCAAAACGATCACGGCCTGGTGTCAGTCTCGGGAAGAGGCCCGTCCACCCTGCATCCTGTTGTTGTTTTGATTATTATTTTAAAAACCGTGCAGGATGAGGAACAAGAGGTGTGAAGAAGAGAAGGGGAACAGTTCTTTGGTACAGAGTGAGGCAGAACACAACAAGAGATAGGCTATTCAGAATCAAAGGAGACACTCTAGGGTCTTGGGTCCTGGGTGCCAGGTCCGGCTCCAGGCTCTGGGCGTGGTTATGGGGCCAAGGAAAATCAGTGCAGTAACAAAGGCAAGAGGGAGTGAACCAATGGGCTTATCACCTGACAGGGCCCCGCCCCTCACATGTGGAAGCCCCTCCCCCCTACACCGGACTATTGTGATGCTTTAGCAGTCCTGCTTTTATGTCATGCAACCAAAGCTCATTTTGTTAGAGAGAAGGGGGTGGGAGAATAGATGGGGGAAGGAAACAGATTGGGAGGAGGAGAAAAAAGGTGGCCGGGAAAGGGGTAACGGGAGAGAATGACACACGGAGGGAGAGAGAGTGAGAAAGTGTGTGTGTGTGTGTGTGTGTGTGTGTGGGGGGGGGGGTGACATTGCTGAGGCAGCAGTCGTCTCCCCTTCAAAGGCTTGAAACACGACAGCTGCTCTGACAGCAGGGACGGGGTCTCAGAAGCAGCAGCGCGTGTGTGCGTGCGTGCGTGCGTGTGTCTCTGTGTGTGTGTGTGTCTGTGTGCATGCGTGTGTGTGTCTGTGTGTGTGTGCTGTGTGTACACACACAGAAATATTCTAATATTTCCTTTGTTAAACCCTCCCCCCTCCCCCTTGTCCCGACTGTAGCGCGAGTCACTCTCAGCGAGAGGCTAACGAACGACGGTCTCAGCCCACCCGCCACGCTGCTTCACCTCGCCGCGCGGTGATGGGGACAGGTCGCCGTGGTGACGGTGAGTGACAGGCCCCCAGATGTAGGCGCTGTGTGTTTTCTGTTCTTCTCTCCCCCCTGGGATTCATTCTAATGAAGGAACCAGGAGGGGTCAAAATGACGATGACGGAGAAAGAGCGGCGCCTTCTGTCAAAGCGCGGGTCCAATGGCACGGGCGCCCACACGCTGACCCGCCAGGAGGGCGCCCACACGCTGACCCGCCAGGAGGTCGCCCACACGCTGACCCGCCAGGAGGGCGCCCTCACGCTGACCCGCCAGGAGGGCGCCCACACGCTGACCCGCCAGGAGGGCGCCCACACGCTGACCCGCCAGGAGGGCGCTCTCACGCTGACCCGCCAGGAGGGCGCCCACTAGCTGACCCGCCAGGAGGGCGCCCATACGCTGACCCGCCAGGAGGGCGCTCTCACGCTGACCCGCCAGGAGGGTGCTCTCACGCTGTCATACCTATGTCTTATTAACATTGAAAATACATATCAACCCAGCCATTCATCAAGTCACTTTCTTATTCAAGGTCGCGGGGGGCTTAGGGTTGGCGTTAGTTTACAGTGGATAAATGTCTGCTGGATAAAGATCTCCAAAGATGCTTATTTCACAAGCGTGGAGAAAACACATCTTCTTAGAAACTACTTCACAATATAAACCTAAAACAAGGTAATGAGATGCCATTGGTACCAGCAATAGAAATCTTTACACGGTTGTCAGTGAAGGGTTTAATGTTTTACATGGACTTATGTGGAGTGTTGTCAGCGAGGCAAATATATCATTTTTGACAAGACACGAACTGATCTCGCTTTATATTCACAATTGGTGTTAATTAGCTAGCAATCTAGCTATCAACGTAAATACCAACAAAATTAGCGATATAAAGTGATCCATAGAAAGTAGTACAAATATACTAGTTCAATGGATGACTTCATGAAACATCTTTTCATTGGACAATTTGATGTCAAACGCTGTCGGAAGATGGGAAAATGGGTGTATTCCATCCATAGTAAAAACCCACGATCGTGAAAAAGTGGACGCTGTTTTCATTGGCCAGAAGCGATACATTTTTCATATCGAACATATACTGACATGTGGTCGTATGGGCCAAGCATTCAGAGGTGCTGATACAAGGACCTTTCAGGGTGTAAATGAGCCGCACAGTGTACAGAATACTGTGTGAATGTAAAGTGATGGTCTGTTCACAGCTCTCCTGTAATTGTGGTCCAATGTAATCCCCAGGAGGAAGTGAAGGTCATCTCATTCCAGGATGACCTCCATTAATCAGCAATGTAATGCATCTGCGTGTCCCATACTAGCAAATTAGTTTAACGGGCAAACAATTCGTTTTCCTATCGAAATCTAATTCGATAGGGAATATAATTAATATGGAAGATTTCCATTTTGTTTAAAAAAAAAAGCTTTATTTCAGTCAGAGGACACTGTAAGCCTGAAATTTGATGAATGCGGAATAATCTGATTATGCTACCAGCTTGCTGTAGATCCGGCTGCATAATGAAAAAAAGACGAAAAAATCAGGCTGAAACAGATGCCGGGCTGCTTTTGTCGCGCTTAATTGCGTCGGTGTCTGGATGAAGAGGGAGGCATAAGTAGATCAGTCATACCTCGGCCTCTTGGAGTGACATCACAGGCAGATGAAATAGTGCTTTCATTACAGTGCTGGTCTGGCTGCTTTTGAGCGATTTCGGTTCACACGGCAATCGAATGCTCATGGTGCTTTGACCACATGGGCGGGCTTTCAAGTAGCCGTTTCCTGGCAGACAGACAGGTGTTTCTGGGAGCCTTTTCTCACCTCTGCCCCGGGCTGGCAGATTGATCGCTTTTAACCTAACAGGAGACAAATCACATTAACGGCCAAGCATGAAGATGGTGCCTCCTGATCAATCGCGACGTGAAGCTGTGTCCTTTTCCACGTGGCGCTAATTCCAGTCCCCTCAGCATCCCTGCCTCTTCCAGAATGACAATCCTTATTTTGATCTTTTATCTGGATGGATGCTGATTCTTCCTGGCAAGTTTCCAGACTCAGGATTGGGAAGAGATCCAGTGGTTCTCATTCTGTACAACGTGCCAATGCCGTGGTGGGCCAGGAGGAGGCGCTCCTGCCGGCCATAGGTAGTAAGCATCACTCAAAGCGTTGTAGCAGCTGTAGCCAACATGCAGTCACATATGTGGCTTGTAGAGTATGCAACTATTTTTGAATGGAGGTGTTCGCAGATTAAAAAAGCAATGCTATATTGTAATGTTATTCATGAAGTAAGAGAATTGCATTGTGGGGATGGCCAATTGATTTAGGCCCCCTGTCTCACTATATATGCTTACATGTACAGAGCTTCTCCCCCGCGGTGCGTCGAATTCCCCTGAATAGGGATTCCTGCTGCTGACAAAACGAAAGGGGATGGTGTTTGCTGTAGTGCAAGCAGCCGTTTCCTGGGTCTGGCCTCACTCCATTTGTTCTCTCAGTCATCCTCGACAATCGCTCCGGAAAAAGATTTCCACGCTGTAGCGTCTGCGGCGAAGCACAGGTTTGTTAAATGGATATGGATGTACATTTAATAGCTGATGTGCTGTGCCATTGGCCCGGCGCTAATTACGCTCTGCACACCGGCCAGAGCCCCTGCCCAGCCTGACCGAGTTCAGTCCAGCGGCAGGATGTCATCGACCCGGCGGGTGTCGTGTGCTGCGGCCAAGCCGTCTGTACCGTGCCATGGTGTCCTCACGTGTACAGACCGATTATGAGGAATCACCCCCTTCGTGATGAAATCCCTCGATTTTCTTTGTCTGGTTCTGCCGTTTTCCTGGCTCAGCATTTGTGTAGAGCAATGTCCCACCAATAGTTGGATAGTTGGATACCTAAACCTTTTGTACCATTGATCCGGCATCCATCCATAAAGATCCATGACCATCCATAAGTACTTCCCCAGTACAGGGTTCTAACCCGGGAAGCAGAGGGCATGAGGCAGGGGATACCCTGGATGGGATGCCAGTCTCTCTAAGGACGACACTCACATATATTAGCAATTTATATGAGAAATTTAGATTTACTAGTTCGGTGGACTGTGGGAGAATATCCAGGCATGGGGAGAACATGCTAAATGTGCACACACAGAGTGGGGACCATTACTGATCTGTAAAGCCCTGATACCGGAGGTTCCAAATACAGGTCACCCAAATCCCCTTCCAAAACAAATAAAAAATAAAAAACAATGAATCAGTTGTAAAATACAGCACAGGTAACATTTAGCCATGACAGCTGATGAGAGTCTTGGTACAGTGACAAACGTGTTGGATGATCGAGTGCCCAGTGTTCCCAGTGACAGTCCCATAAGCACCATTTCCTGTATTACCGCAGTGATTACGACCTGACGTAATGTTTTTTCCCGCCAGCTAGTATGGCTGCCTTCTGCCACTCCGTTGTTTACAGCCGCCCAGAACAGAGAACAAAGCCAGCATGTCTCCACAGCTGCCGGCCTCGCCAGTGTCAGTTACCCACGGGCACAAAGGGGAGCGGATGTGCCCACCGCCAGCCTCGGCACCCCGCTCTCCCGGGTGGGGCACTTTCATTTCCGGCTCGCTTTCAGGCGAGTCGCGCGCTAATCTCTCGCCCCCCGGTCCGCGTATCGTGCCGCTTCCTGCCGGAGAGATAGACGTGGCCCATTTCGTCGGGCTGGAGCGTTTAATCAGTTTCACGATATGACACTCCGAAGATCAGACGAAGAGTCGCGGCTGGGATTTATTTCCCGCGGGACTGCTGCTGTATTTCTAGGTGCTGTTGATGGCCGTTTTAATGCTTCCTGGAATGCTTTGATACAGCATGTGCATTTAAGGTTACCTGCCAAGGCACAGGGCTGTAACTCCATGGCCGGTAGTATCAAAGACACAGGTGCACGTTCACACAGCCTCTTTACACATCGAAAAGAATCAATTCACCTCCCTCTTGGCCTGAAATTTCTGTGTCTGTGCTTTCTAAGCACTGGGAATCCACCAGTGATGAAAAATGGATCAAAAAGAATGATATGGGTTTTCCCATGCCCTCACAGGTCCCCTGACATTAATAATGCAAATTAATCTGCTGTTGTCTCTGCATTTCAGCCCAGCCTTTGGGTTTTTTTCTTCTGGGGTTTCCAAAGCCGACTTGGAGGTTTGCTTTTACTCGTCCACAAGACACGCACCCCTAGGTCCGAGTTAGTGTCAAAGGGGAAATCAGGTCTGATTCCGAGATGTATGGAAGACGAGCGCATCGTTGGGGTATTCATGTGCGTTTATGAAGCAGTTGCACCTTCGCTGTGGCATGCAGGTGGTCAGAGAGGAGTCATTCAGCTCTTCTCCCACATTCTAATTTTTTTTTTTCCACCGCCGGACACGATAGTCACGTTGACCCCCCCTCTTGAATTTGTTCTACTGTGGCTGAGGTCTAGTCTACCTTGCTTTTAAAGAGATGTTTAATTCAGTAGACAGTCTCTAGAAAGGGGGCGGTACGGTCCTTGGGCCAAAACAAAAAAGGTTCATGTGTCCCTGCCTGTGAGTGCAGGTGCTGTTGGGATTGAAGGGGTCGGTACCAGACAGCGGCTGGCCGCCTTATGCTTGGTGTCCCCTGTGTCTGAGGAACGGCCATGACTGGCGGGGGTGTGGAGTGGGGGAGGAGCAGGAAGCTGATAGGAGATACTGAAAGAGGCTTTAAAAGCTGCTCAAGTTTTCAATTAGACCAGTGTCCTCTGATCATAATTACAGGATGGGCCTCTGTCTCTCTCTCTCTCTCTCAGCTGAGTAACTTTTGTCTTGAGCAGCTTTTCTCATTTTGAATCCTGAAGAGGTGTTCAGAAGGGAATGTTCTGAAGAAGTGTTCAGAGAGCTGTTTAGAAGAAGTGTTCTGAGCAGGATTTCAAAGGAATTTTCCAGAAGTGTTCAGAAGAAACTTTCTGAGGAAATCTTCAGAATAAGGGTTCAGTACCCTTGATGCGACCACATCTTCACTTTATTCGCAAATTTTCAGCGCTTTGACAAACATTTTGGACAAAAGCATTGCTTATAGAAAAACGCCATGACCCAAAAGCAGTAGAGCGGATGAATGGCTATGAATGAAAACCAGCAGCAGTGATCTAGCTATATGTGTGTCTGGTTAGGAATTCAGAAAGCCTGACTCTATATGACTGTGGTGGATTGCTGTCCGGTGATCCCATCCAAATGGGCTTAGGGGATCCAGAGGGATCTGCAGAGTCCTTGGACCAACGGGATCACCCTGCTGAGTGTGGTCATGAGAATGAAATTCACTTTTGGATGGATGGCAGAGCCTAGGATAGGGAGCCCATTTTATCTGGGAATTAGATTGTTCTGGTGCTTGTTATTGTGGCATGTAATCGATCACTATGCCCTGAACACACAAATGAGGAAATAATGACTCCTGGGTTAAAATTTACATTGATTGCTCTTTATTACAGTATGAGCTGGTGGAGCTGTTATTAAATACAGAGGTAAAGCAGAATGCAGCATCTAGCATGATAGACTGAATTGCTTCTTTTTTTAATATAAATGCTGATGCAGAAAAGGCTTTTTTAATATACAATTACGTGTGAATAATTTGGTGTTCTGTGCAGTGTTAGTATTATTCAAGTTAATATTTAGTTTAGTAAGCTGCTAGATCCCCTTGTACAGATTTTTACTGCATCTGACTTGCTGTTAGTGCAAACTGTGTTTCCTCGCACTGTGAGTTCTGGGTGCATTTAGTTAAAATATTTGCTCTGGTTGTGTTTATCTTAGTTGTCCATTCTGTGTGTGTTTAAACAGTTTACTCTGGGTGTTTTTTCTAAACTTCATGCTTTTTGTGTATTAAGGTAGGTAAGCCAGGTAATTTGGATGGGGTAAAGAAGAGCGTAGGGTTGCTTAGCAACGCAATAACGCTTTGTATCCATGGGTAGAAAAGCATGCCTTTCTTTGAAGCGCGCACTGGTGATTCTGTCACAATAATATACATACCCAGCCGTTTTTTTTTTTCTGATTAAAAGACAGCGAGAGTCA